TGTATTGAATTGACTCTCCTCAATTTATCTGACGCTTCTCTCTTTCAATGTCGCGCCCCGTCTCGCCGCTACTCATTCGCCCGCTCGCGTCTTTCATGTTCCTTCGGTGTTCTATCCGGCGGACGATGTCGCTGCACTCTTCGCCTCGAATGCTCGTTCGGATCCTCTTGGATTTTTGTGGAGTGCGAGCAACTGATCTCAGCGGGGCCATAAACCTGACGCATGAAGCCCTCTGAAGGAAGGCGGAAAAAGTCTCGAATCTTGTAGTTGTTGCGCTCGACGCCGGATCTTGCTCAGAGTTTGATCCCTAGTCTCCCACCGAGGAATAGAGGAAGAAAGGAAACTTGGAACAAAATATCATGGACACGCTTCCGAGAAGCAAGATTTCCGATTTTGTTTTCAAGTTTATTTTTCCTTGTTCCGCACCCCATCTTCTCTGTTCGACGGCGACTCGCAGCTGGTCCGGAATATAAATTGTTTCTTCTATTCTGCTGTGTCATGTACAGTGCACCGATACAGCCTCGGCTCGCGGCGACAACCCCGACAGTGTCTGACTCCACGCGGGAACTGCATCGGACTGAGAATTCACAGAGTGAATTTTTTCCTGCCTTCCGGGGAACAGTCGTGCAACAGACTCCGCAGAAGCTCCCGAAGCGAGGTGACGGTAGCAATCATCCAATCAGAATTCGGTAAAAAACGACTCCATCCCACAGACTCTCGCGAGAGAGGAGAAGTGAAGCCGAACTCTCGACGGCGACGTTTCGAGCCGAACCGGGCCTCACAGGGATCCGCGCGAGCGGAGCGAGAGTTTCGAGGCAACTTCGGGAGGACTTAGGCAACGATATCACAAAGGAGAAGCGTGAATGCGGCGGGGTATGTCCGACGCCGGGCATTACTGTGTTGGGTGATTAAGATCCTGCGTTCACGGCACCAAATGTGGAAACGGGTATGCAGGGGTTGAAATCCGAAGCGGAAACTCGCGGACTGACAGAGATTCAATCGAAAATTCTTAGCGAACTGAGAAGTCGTCCGATCGGTTGCACAATTGCTTATTTCTGAGTGAAGGACCATCAAGAAGAAGCCGAAACCGAAATTATTTTTGATTCATCCTCCGAATTGTTTGACAGCGTACTCATGAGCCTGTTTGGCCAGCCATTGAACGGAAAAGCCTAAACTTTTCCGGGCTGAACCACACAGCCAAGGTTTAACGTCCCGGGCACTGTTATTCACAAGGCTCCTGAGGACGGATCCATGTGCAAATGCAAATGTACCCACGAGGATCAAGGCGAGTACCTGCGCTCCCGGAAGGAATATTTTTCCGGCAGCAGGGATCGAACCTTTACCGCCTTCCGCGCGAGCGGCGTCCTTGCGGCATTTCACGAAGTGAAACGCACGTTTACACGAGTAGTAACAAACGCGCTAACCACTCGACCTACCCGTTGTACGAAGCGGTAGTGCTTTGATTCTGATTCAGTTCAAGGATGCGCATTGAATGTGAGCAGGATCAGGAATTAGGATCGAATTCGCACCTGAGTCACATCCAAGAGGTGTGTTGTAGATCTACCGGTGGCTGGAAGGGGAAAGACTTTCAGGGAAAGTTTCGGGGGCCCACTTTGAAGCTGTGTGTTCGCCTCCTCGAATTGTTCCTATACGCCTACTGGAACAGAGCGATGGGCTCCAACGCCCGCCGACTTGCTAAGGGATGAGCGGGATATTGTGAGGAGGAAAAAAGCCGAGGGGGACCGCAAGGCTGTCGGAAAGGGTGGAAATCCGAAAGAAATAAGAAAGCCAGCCGGCACAAAGGGCGGTCGGGGGTCGGGAGAGCAGCGGGAGGAGACCCGAGAGAAGGGAATCGAGAAGACATTACGAAGCGGGCAACTCAATTTCTTCTCGAAGCGGACTCCTGACCTCTCTCCTGTGACAACGGATTGAAGAGCCAGTGAGCGCATGTGTGACCCCCTGTGTGACTCTGTCTATTTTATTGCGTGAGCCTCTTCCTCTTCTCCCGTTTCTCCCAAACGCTGTCCACTGGGAAAACTGACCTCCGAGCCGGAGTTGACGCGGCACCGTCGTCCGCTGGGGAAACCCGGAATGCGGACATGGAAACGAGTCCTGGAGATGGAACCCGAGCCTCGCGATACTGCCAGAGCTTGACATTATGTCCTCGGTCTGGATTTGGATGGCCTTAGCGTGCAGAAATCGTATGATAATTATTCGCTCGTCGCACCGACCTTCAGTTCTCCGTTTTGAGCCGAGTGCGCTCCGTTCGGGGAAGTCGTCGTTATTTTGTCAGTAGATTCCTCGTTGAGAGTTCGATGTCGCTGACAGCTTCATCAGGAGCCAATGTTTGCTTTTAATAAACGACATGTTGATGTGTTCTCTCCAAAGGGGACTCTCTATAAGAGACGGGGCCACCAGCTAGCCGAGGAGGAAGCCGTCGCCGCCGCCGCCGCCGCCAAAAAGACAGCCGACTGGGAAGGAGACATAGCAGAAAAGCAAGCGGGCTTCCTTAGGGTTTTCGTCGTTGGTTTTGACTCGAATTCAAAGACGGGGAGCGGGCCCCAGTCAGAGCAGGAACTTATCAGAGCTCCCTGAATGAATCCCAATATAGTAGTCGCCTTCATTCGTATCGTGAACGAACCCGGAACGACGGGTATTCGAGGAATTCCGACGTCACACCGCAATGCTTATTCTACGAAGAGCGAAACGGGGGTGAGCTCATTCGTTCGTGAGTAGTCCTCGTAGGCGTCGACGGCGCCCGTGCCGATAGGCCGGAGCTCTGGACCAAGTGTTTATTGCCGACCTAATTAAGCTTAAGGCGGCTTGAAGACCTAATGCTCGAAGCAGGTGTTTGAGAAAAGGAAGCAATGGCCCTGCATAGCAGCGTCGAAACTGCCGGGAATGAGCTAATCTGCGCCTTTTTTGCGTTTGGTGTAGCAGCGGGGAGCAGCAGCTGCAGAGTAGCATGCGCTTCGAATTTTGAATTCTCTCCAAGCGTGACCCTTACGTTGATGTATTCGGACGATGCGTCGAAGGTATCGCGCCTCACCACACGGATCTGTGGGCTTCTTCGAGACTGTCCGGTGGGGGCGAGTCATCCCGATTCCTCCCTTCCAAGCCCAGCAGGAGCGACCCAGTGCGATATTCGTTGCCATTCCGGATCCCCGAGCAATAGGCGTCATTCCATGACATCTGCGCGACTCCAATTCGCCCAATCGAGTTCCGGTTGGGAATTCTTCTCTTAACCTCGGAGTTGATCGTAGACTTCAATCGGAATGAACGGTATTCTCGGAGCCGCTGTGACACACTCTGTCGAAGTAAGCTGCAGCAGCAGCTTCCCCGGCCGGCCTCGTTAACTCGCTAAGTCTATGGGTGGTGGGGAGCTCTGAGGAGAAAAGCTATGTGGTATTTCGGGAAAAAGTCTTCTCCTCTCCACAATGCACTGCGTCCCGACAGCTGTCTCGCGTCGGAGGTATAATGGAAGAAAAGGAGACTAAAAGAGGCGACGCTTGATAGTCCAGCGAATCTGCCAGTCTCTAAATAGCAAAACAAACGTTTTTTCTCCATCTACCCGAGAGACGCTGGAAATAGACGGACCATCAAGGATACGGTGGACAGCGACACCGACGAATACGGCGAATAAAATCGCATGGATCCGCGATTTCCTCAGATTTCCGGGTTCCCGAAGAACTCAAGCCCAATAATTCCAAAAAAAAAGTTTCGTGAACGTCCCGGCAAACGAGGAATGTCTGCGAGAGATTCCCGCCCCGTGGTCAAAATTGGCAGTTCCTCGTGCGCTAAGCCTGAAAATGGGCTCCCGAACACCGAATACTCCGAGTGAGGCGCACAGCTGCGGAACAAAGCGAAATAGAAGGAAACGACGAGGTGTGATCGGAGAAAAATAGCGTTGGTTTCTGGGTCCGAGTCGAGACTCCGTCTGCCACATTTAATCTCGTGTTGACCGGCTGGTATTGCTGGCAGGCATGAACGTGGCGCCACAGGCAGCTCAGAACGAGGGAGTGAGGGTGGATGGAATCCTAGCGGGAGTGACGAGCGATGGAGCTGAACTCGTCGAGGAGCTCGTGATATCGCGGACGAAGGAAATAGGGCGAAGGAGAAGGTAGCCGGAGAGCGGCGGGGCAAACACAAGCATATGAGCCGGACGAGATTGGTTTGGGAGCTCACTCGCAGAGGGGCGAAGGACAGGATGAAATATCTCATCCCATTTTCCAGCGCCAGGTGTGAAAGTCAAAACGAATTTCGCCAAGCCGGAGAAGAAGGTAGAACAAGGAAGGTTTCTCAAGGAGCTCGTCTTGACTGCTCTCCCGCCAAGAGGCTTCTTTTCGGCCTAGGTGGCTCGAGGAATGGATGAAAGAGAGTAGCCGGGAGGAGGAAAGATCCTCGGGGGTCGTTCCATCTGTGGCTCTAGAATTGTTTCGCCGGGAAGCGTGATCTGATATGTCAATCGCTTACTCGGATCCCGTCTATCCGGGCATGGGGTCGCTTTTGGGCGGCAACCCCATCTCGAGATAGATGACCGCTGGCTGGTGGAATGGTTGAGAATTCCGATGAATTCTGGGCGATTCTCCAGCAACGCGGCCGATTGATATCCACACATTCCCAAAGGCTTGCGTGGGAAGGGTTGTGGGAACGGTCAGGTGGGAACGGCTGGGAGAGATCTCGAGAAACCATCGAAAAATGAATGGGTGAATTTTTGAATTCTGGTCTGAGTGAAGGGGAAACTAGAGTATCGGTCTCTCGGAGTCCGCGAAACTCGATCAAAGAACTACTCGAGGAATGGACATATCTCATGTTTTTCAAGCTCGTGTCCTTCAGGGTTCGCTGGCGGGACACGATCCCAACTCGATCCAGAGGTGTTATCTATTTTAAATCAGGGCAGTCGCCGGGCGGGGACTCCCGAGGCGTCAGGGGCTGAGTGCCGCATATCCTTGTCGAGGTCGTTCTGGTGTACCGAAATAGAGCTTTCAGACGCTCTAATTATGTCGCACGATCCTTTGCAGCTTGTGCTGAGCGCGAGGAAAAACTCCAGCGAATACGTTGAAAACGTGAGGAAAAAAGTCTTAGGAATCAACTTGGGTAGATTTGCCGGCGGTGGTGGAACGCACCGGAAGCCAAGCGGAAGAAAAGGAAGAGGAGGTTTTATACACAGCAGAGAATCTTTGTTTGCGCACTCGCGCCAGTCCTGACCGCCCAAGTGCTCGGCTTGCTGGCGTGCCATCCTCTGGAGTTGCGTCATCATTACTCCCCCTGTCTGTACTCCTCCTCCTCCCCCTTCTCCTCGACCCCCGGTCTTGAACCTCATCTGGTTCATTCCCCTCCCATTCCCTCCATTCTCAACGACGACTTCGAAAAAGAAGGAAGAAGGGGAAATACAATGATCTGGCCGAATCTCCTCCCTTGTAGTCTAAAAACGGTTTTCACTCTTTCGCCAATTCTGCTCCGCCAAGGCGGCTACGGCCGCCGACTCTGACTTCTCCCGGAGTCAAGGGAACGTAAGGTCACGGCCAACTGCCGACCGCCCGAGGTGCCCCGCCTCGATCGCTGGTGAGATCTATTCCGGCTTGAGGGAGATGGGGGACAGCGAGCTGAGGCGACAGGGTGAAACTCTGAAAACATGGAGGTGGAACCGAGCGGCACCGCGGGGATTTGGTAGGGCCGGCCACTGACTTATGGCGGCCGTGGGGTGAGACCGCCGTCGTGGACAAAGGGAGATTTCCGCCGCGTCATCAACTGTCACCCAAGAAGAAAACAGATAGTCCGAAGTTGGTCGGCAATCCGAGAATTTTCTCTTTCAACCATTTCTTCCTAAAGTCCGTCCGTCCGGCCGTCCGTCCGTCGAGTCTGAGTTTGCACTTGAGCAAAGCCATTTCCGTGAACGGATCTGAGACGGAGACCGCGCAACGTGTTCGTATAGCGAGATGCGGCGGACGATTCGAGGCCGCGCCGATACGTTCCGGAAAGCTGCGGATAACGTGTTGTGATTCGCTCTCCTCCAGTCGGAGCGCACTCGGCCTATCTGCACCGGAACCCTCATCCGGCCCTCTCGGCTCTCCGTCCCGACGCATCTCGGTTTCACGGTTGCTGTGTGTCAGTTTCATGGTGAAATAATGACAATAACACTTGCAGCGCCACTCGCTATTCCCCATATAGTCGTGAGGCGTCGAGAAAGTTTCTGGTCGTTTTCAGCGTACGTACTACAACAACGTGACAACTGCTTCCTGTCGGGCCTGTCGGCTGGCGGTCATAGTGTCGTAAAGGACAGGCGGTGGCGTCAGGAAACATGGCTCGAAAATTAAAAATGTCCTCCACCCGTTAGAAACAACGAACGGAGGAACGGGCGGCCGGACGGACCGACGGATGGGTGGATGGATGGACGGTCGGTCGGTCGGTCGCCCGTTCGCTAGGGAGAGGGAGGAAACGAAAGGACGCCGAGTGACGCGTAGGAACGAATAGAGACGAGTCGACGGCAAGAGTCTTCGCCTCCGAGTCGCGCTCTTTGGTTCGGAAGTTTTAAATGGCTGCGTTTGTAACTCGAGGAGGACGGCAGCGGCGCCGGCCGGCTAGTCGGCCGAGGCAGCGATCGTTCGCACAGCTCGACGACCCCGCGCTCACGCGCAGTGCGACCGACAGGCATTGTCCTCCCTTCATATTCATCCACTCGACGCCTCATACATACAGACATTATAATATGTAGGTATATCACGGAACGTCGGTCGATTCGAAAGGATGAAGAGGGAACACATATCTCGTCATTCACTCGCTCTTGAATCGGTTTCCCGAGGCAGAAATCGTGACTGGGTTCGATCTCGGACCGAGGAAGGAATTCTCGGCGAATTCCGCCAGAGTCTCCCGAGAGAAACCTCGCACACAAGTTCCCCCGAAGCTTCTGTGGTAAATCTGGGAACCATATCTTTATCAACTCCGTAACAAATTAACTCGTGTACACATCGGAACGACAAACGTTCAATCAGGAGATTGCGAGGAAAGCACGAGAGAGATCCCGCAGATGGATATGGTGTTCGATCCATCCAATCTTCCCTCTTCCTCACTCTCCTGTCGACTCTCTTCCCCGGCAGGCTCGTCGTCGTCATGCTTCTCCTTCTCACATTCCTACTAGTTCTCGACCTCGTTCACCAGCAGTTCTCGGCCCGTTCCTCCCCTCTCCTGGACGTGGCAGCGTCTATCATGGTGCTTGCAGCGTAATCTCGACGAAGCGTCATCAGACAAAGTCAGCGATGCACGAAGACCTGTGAAAAGGTGCTGCCGCTGATGCTCGCTACCTGCTTGCTTTTACTCCTTCTGCAGCGTGTCTACCACCGATGCTCCCGGCTTTGGTAATCTGTACGAATGTCAGCGGGACGTCTGTCATAAGCAACACAGCGAGACGAGGATGCTATGAGAGGCAGCGACGACAGGTCGGCCAGGCTGACGGAAGACGACCACCAGAGGGAAGACCGCCACCATCACCACCACCACCGACGACGAGCGTCGGGGCGAGCACGCGAGCGAATGGACGAACGGACGGACGGACAGACCAACGAAATGGCCGAGCACAGGAAGCCGACGTCAAGGACACGACAACAACTAACCACACGGCTTTCTGACCGGTCTCGCTAATTTAATGGCTTCCTTGTCACTCCGTCTTCATCATCATAGGCTCGCTGGTCCGTCAGTTTTTGCTCGGCTGCCGCTGGTGGCTCGTGGACTGGCGAACAGACACACAGACTTACTGGTTGGTGTTTCACCTGTCCGGGGTGTGTCTCCGGTGGCCCGGGTCGACTCAGCAGCTACCAGTCGTCGCCGGAGGCTCCCTCGCGTGATGGGGGATACGAACAGGGCGGAGAGAGGGAAACGCGATGTCCTCCGTCAAGAGTCACGATCGCCCTGGCGGGAGCTCGTCCGAGCTTCTCGGCACGGGATCCGTCCTGTCAACATTTCGTGAACGTATCCGACGACGTTCAGCTGAGCCAGGCGCGGCGTTATTTGCGTGTTCCCTGAAACACAAGCATGGAAAGGGAGAAGGAAGAGTGGTCCCTGCGAGAGTGCACTCGTTGGAAGAATGGGAGCGGACCGATGCGAGCCCGATTGACTGACTGATATTCGGAGCAGACTCCAGAGGGAAACTGTGCCGTGGCCTCGAATAGATTCCGGGGATTAGCTTCTCGCCGGTTACTCACCGGTTCCGCGCCGAGTCCTACCATCTGGATGCTCGTTCCTACACGAACAGGAACGTTTCAGAGGAATGAGGGGAATACTGGGACATGGAATGGGAGGAGGAGATCGGCGGTATAAGGACGTGGGGGTAAGGGTAGGGGAGGGGGTAGGTTTTCGGTTGGCAGGATTCTTGAAAGTCTCTCGTACGGGGAAGGGAGCCCCGTAAATGAGTTTGTGATTTATGCCTCGTCGATTCCTCGGGTAGGAAGACGACCGGACGTGTTGCACGGAGCTCGAATTGGTGATAGAACTCCGCTCTGACCCTCCTCGATCGGTTTTCGTTCAGCTCCCGACTCGAGTTCGTCGACTCCAGTTAGGCTTGACCTAGCTCGGCGGGCCCTGTTCGCCGAAGTCGACGGCTTCGGTTGCCCCGCGTAACTAGGACTGGCAGGAGCGCGATGGGAGAGAAGCGGAGAGGGAAAAAAATAGTCGAAAGAGCTGCTGGAAAAGAAGAAGTACAAGCCGCGGGCGAAACCCTTATGACTCAGTGTAGCTTCCGGCCTTAGAAATTGTTTCATTTCCGAACGCACTCCGCTGTTCCCTAGTAACTACTGTTCTACAACCACCAAGGGCAGCCGCCTCCGCGCTAGTTCCGAGTCATGGTGTGCGACCGCGGGATCGGGGCAGTTTCAACTACTCAAATTGCTGCCGCTGTTGCTCCAGCTGGGTCGGGACCCCATCATTTCTCGTAGTTCAGCGATTCTCACTCGGTAATCTTCGCTATACCTCCCCGTTCAACCTTCCACCCCCTCTCTCTTGGCGCGTTCCCCGTTGGCTGACGGTTCAATGAGTGCCGTAGGCGAATCCCTTCGACAGATATGTAGTCGGCGGAGGATCGTAGCTCCGTACATGGCCAGCACCGGCGAACAAGACTCCAGCTCTGTCTCGATCGAGTCGCGTGGAGAGCTCCAACTTCCAGGGTCTGGAGCCGCGGTCCGGGAGAGTATTTTTTCTGAAAATCTCGCATCGTTGGCTTGCGAGACCAAATATGTAGTGACCGTCTCCGAGAGCTCCCTACAAAGGGGCACTTGTCCCGAGCTTTAAAATATGTTCGCTTCCGTGAACGTAGACATGTTGACGCGGAGCATCACAGATGTCGGCTTACGCGCGACGGTGAAAAGAGAGAGACAATACGCAAGCTCGAACTGAGTACACCGATGCGGAGCCCGCGGCTACTCGTGCGACCGACGTCGATGAGTTCGTATGAATCAGACTGTATGAAAGAAAACGCCGCCGCCGCCGACGTCGACGACGGCTTCGTATTTGCTCAACTCGTTGATTGCCGGGCGGCGCTGCTGGGAATCTGCGAAGAGCCGGCTGGCTGTGCGATATTGCGTTTGCGTTAATCTTTCGAGCTCGATGGATCATTGCCGGGAGAGCCACAAAGCGCGGGGAGACCCGCCAGAAGCTCCGACGAATTACCGGAATAGCCACCTTATGAGAGCAGCAGGGATCATTGAGGTGTTCCGCGGGTAGGTACTGTACACAAGCGAGCGAGCGAACATACGTCATGATTATGATGATCTCGTTGTCTCTGCTGACGATATGACTTTCATCTGTTCCACTCTCTGCCATCTGGTTTCCACCGCTCGCTGGTCCTACTCGCCCCGGAATCGTTTGTTGAATGCTCGCCGCTGGGATTGCTTTCCTCGCTGGGTCACTGGGCGCTGGGCGGGAAGGTGGCGAAGCTGGGCCGGAGAAGCCGCTGACCAGACAAACAAGCAGCGAAGCACCGAACAAACCCACCAGTAGGCTTCCCAGTTCCGCGAGCGGGACGGCAGACTCCTATCACATTACCATCAGAATGAAGGAAGCATCCAGCGAACGAACGAACGAACTGCAAATACACAGATCCTACAACAACCAGAAGCCGGGGTTCAGGGTTCGCTTGGAGGGCGTGCTTTCTCTCCGTTCACCGTTCGCTCATCCACTCGATGCCTCTCGATGCTCCTCTTCCCTCGTTATTCGCCGACTCTTGCTCTCGGATCCCATCGACCTTATCATCCTTTCCATCGTCGGGGGTCCGGAGCTTCTCTGTTGGATCGACAGATCCGAAAAGTGCCCTCCGATTGACGCCGGCGAAGAGGACCGGCTAGTCATCCTCGCCCGACGAGCGAGTCAACCAGCGAGATCTCGGATATGGAAATGAGTTGAGATGATTTATTGTTGTCGTCGGCGAAGGCGGCGGCGAGTAGTTGTATGTAGTAGTCGGAGATCGCCTGCAGCTAACGTATGAGACCCGTGCTCTCCGAGACCTAAACTGCTGAGACCACGTCAACAAGAGATCAGTTTTTCGAGCCCCAAGGCAAGGAGTACGTTGGGTCAAACGAGCATGTCGGGGTTCTCCCGAGACCCGGATGACCTTCCCTGAGCGAAAGCCTGGACTATCGATGAGCGAGGGACCGTGAAATACCCCTGGATTAGCTCACTCAGCCAACTCTGAAGATTTGGACTAATAATTTTTTTCCTTGCAGGCGTCTACATCTGCAACGCCCAACAGCTCTCGGCAGGCGGCGAACTGGGCATGCAGAGACCACCTTATTTCATCAGTGAGCCTCCCGCATTATTCGAGTACACAGCGGATAAAGGCGCCGAAATCCATTGTATAGCGGATGGGATCCCGAAACCCGAAATCGTCTGGAAGCGACTCGACGACACTGAGGTGGAGTCGAGCGATTCGGGCGTTTTATTACTTCATCCGATTTCGGCTGCCATGTACAACCAGTCTGTGTACAGCGGATACTACCGATGCGTCGCTCACAACTCTCTCGCTGTGATTGCGTCTCGCCTAGTCAAGGTGTTAGCAAGTGAGTGTCTTGAACTTTTCCCCGGTGCCCCGATATCGCTCCCGTAGGGTTCACGTCCGAGTGGGTTCCGCTCTGTTCCGGTTCGGAATGGATTCTGCTCATTATCCGAGACACTCTTCTCGCTACCCTGCTCAATCTTGAATGTTGGCCGATAAACCCACGGCACAGTGCGGTTTGAAGCGGGTTCCCGATAACTTCCTCGGAAGGCTTTCTTCATCCGCTGTTTCTTTCGAGCCCCCGAGTTCGGCGTCATCGCGACCGACGTCTCCGTCGAGAATGCGCGAACGGGCTATCAACTCGAATTGATCGTCGACGAGACAATCTTCTCGGCGAACCCTTCATTCGATTGTCTCCCACCGCCGCGTCAATGTTCGCAATGAGTAGAACAAGCCGCTCAACGAGACACTCTAAATAGCTCAACACCCACGAGCGTTGTCGAATCAACTCCTCGAATCAAACAATTTAATTCAATCGTCTCATTCGACAAATGAAACAACTCAAGCCCGGAGCTGCCTCCATTTCGGTCGTGTGACCTCACTGAGGACTCGGCCAGAAGGCTTGGACCTGCAGTCGCAGGGAATTCCGGAATCCTGTTGAAGATTGGCCAGAGAGTCTTCTTCTCCGAGACCATGATCGGAGAGGATTAATTAGTTGACAAAGAGAACACGATTATCGCTTATCGATACCCGCACAATATTGTCTCCACTACACGATGGAGTCATTATTGAGCCTTGTGAGTTTTATTTCCAATATTAGCTCTCTGTCTCCTCACCTTGGTGGTGGAGAAGATCAAAAAGTGTCTTCGTTTCGGTAAGTTCGATCATTAGTCGAAGCCGAAAGCCTGGTCATAATGGCCCTGAGGATTGTTCGCCGAACAGCATTGCACCTTGCTCGCTGCTTGCGAAGCGAATGTCATGGCGAACATGACAAACAGACGGAGCCAGCCAGTACAAGATTAACGTCGTCGCAGGAGCATAAAACACTTTCTCATCGAGTCTGAGCTGCAGACGCCCCGTGATCTTCGTTAAAGAAATGTTCACAGAAAGCAGTTTTACCCTCGTGTCTGATTGACTAGTTTTTCAATTTCTTCTCGGTAATTCGATGATGACAATTTTTTGTCCAAAGTCGTTTAGAGTTTTTTGTTCACTTCCCTGCTCGAGGATGGACCGGAGAGGAAAAGGGGAAGCCGACGGCCAGTAGCAAGATGGCGCTTGTCCTTAATGACTTTCTCCCGTGGCTGCTTCCGAAGTCCTGGAGCGGGTCAGGCGCTCTAAAAGTGGCCCCTCGTCGCTTTGGTCCGGTCTCGGGAAGACCTTCCTAAAGAGCAGCAGAACGTTTTTATCGTCGGGACTTTCTGATTTATCATATCTACGATGTATTCCGAGGCCTTACAATGATGTCTGGGGGACTTCCCGGAAAAAAACATACATAGGTGCCTAGCGAAGCTCGAAAGGCTGTTAGATCCGCCTTCCTCAGCCAAGATACCTCAGAACTCCCATTCATCCAAAAGTCGCCCCCGTCCCCCGACCCGATGTAATTCCGGCTGTTACTCCCTGATCGACATGCAGAACATGATAAGGATGACTGTGCTCGGATCTAATACATGTTCCTTCAATCTTTCCAGTTTTCGACACAGAAGAGACATTCGTCGACGTGCAAGACGGTGTCGCAATTAGGGGAAATACTGCCATTTTGAGATGTCTATACCGAGGAGAGAACGCCGAATTCACGTGGATACGCGACGACGGACTCCTAATTTCGGCGCAGCAACAGCACAGTAAGTTATTATGATGCAACGATGATGTTTGGGTGAATGGCTATGCTCTCAAAGTCGTCGAGATTCCCGTCTCTGAGCCCATTCGCATTTAACGCTGCGCTGGTGTGACATTTGAGGATGCCGAATCATAGATACGATTTTCTCGAATAATATTATCGAGATCCCTGGTTGAGAGAGGAGTTCAGAGGGAATCGAGGCTCAAGCTCACCTACGGCTCGCGATTTCGTCACAGTTTCGTCTTTGTGTCGCTGTCCTCTCATCAAAACAATACACCATAAGGTCCTACAATAGCGGCGACGACGACTCGAGAGGGAAAAGGCAGACCAGGATGGCGGTGCGGGGAACGGCATTATGACGACAGGGACAAGGCGGGTGGTAACACCTACCAACGACGTCGACAAGCGGCGTCGGCGGTGGCGAACAGCAGGCCGTAGAGAGAGCAGACGACAAAATTACGTCTTGTAGCTAACGACAAGTGTGACACGATACAAATTCGACGGCGAGGAGGGAACAAGCTCGCGAGAAACTCAGGCGACCAAAAGCTCCCCTCGGCTTGTGAGAGGTGAACTCCGCAGTCGGTGACGCTGACTTTGCAAATACCCATGCTTCGGCGGTTGTCGTTGCAGTCGACGCCGTCGTTGACGAGCGAAAGGATAAAGCTTCATTACGACGCAGACGTGTTTCCTTTTTCTCCACGGGGCGGAGGCAAAAGTCTGAGGGTTAGTTCCGCTGTCAGGTTCCTTTCGGCGTGGGACCGACTCCGCAGCGTCGTAGTTCCTTCCGCTGCCCCGACGTGAGTACCAGAATCGGCAGATGTATCCAGGGTCGCATCACGAAAGATCGTAATCGATTCCCGAACTCCGGTCAGTCAGCGAGCGAGAGCAGCGTTTCACGAGCCAGATATTCCGACAGGAACACGGAGATCAACGCTCCAACGATGCTGGAGGGACTCGGCGGGCCCGACGACAACTCGGTGTTTTCACAAGACTTTCGCTGCAATCGTAAGCGCGTCGATTGATGTCAGTCAGCAATCCACTGTAGCAGCAGCTGCAAGTGTCATTTGATTCAAGTCAGGGCTCCGTGGCAGCCGTTTTTCTCGTGCAGCTCGTCCCCAGGCAGCCCGTTCTGTTGGGTCGCTACTCGCTTGCTCGTTTGCTTTCTCCCCGACTCGTACACCCGTCGGATGTTATGAGTGTCAGTGCGCGCGAGCAAAATTTAACTGCTGCGAATCGCGACGTCGTCGGTCGGGGAATGGCTTTCGCTGTTCCTGTTGGGTAGGCCATTTTCGTGGAAAAGGTGAAATTTACTTCCATTCAACGAGCGACTTTACAAGCCGCTCTCGGTGGTGTTTTCGACGCGCAGACAGACAGTGCGACCGAACGAACGACCGCCCTCACATGTTGGAGGCACGAGTGCTTGTCATGCGTCGTTCGTCGCATGTCTCGTTGGCTAGCCGGAGTAGCTCGCCTGGAGCTAGCTAGTTCCGCCCCGGCGTTGATGCGTCTCCCGACCGGTTTCCTTCCTCCGTTGCTGCCCCTATCGCTCGAAACAAAGAAAGACTCGGCGTTTAGGGACTGGTCGGCGCGAGCTGGCTTTTTCTTCTTCTCCCCGGGACAATGAGCGTGTATCTATCCCTCTCACATTTTCTTTCCTTGTCATAGTTCGGCTTAGTTTTTATTATGATGATGGTTCTGGGGGGCAGACGAGCCGCTGCTGTACGCGAGAGACGCAGCGAAGAAAATGAGGGGCACCACGAGAAATAACGTCGACAGCAAAGCAACCCTCAAAAGAATGGGTGCGGCAGGAGCAGCAGCAGCAACAACAACAACAGTAACGACGACAACAACAACGACGATGACGATGACGACGACTGCTGCTGCTGCTCAGCGAACGAGTCCCGCTCCCCTGCTCTTCCACTCCACGAGTCAACGACTTAGAGGACGCTGCTCCTCTGATTCATTTTTAATTTGTTAATTCTTTTCACCCGGAGCGGAAGTTTGCCTCGCTGCATCAACAGAAGCAAAAATAACTTCTATACAACAACAATAGCGCTTGATATCAGAGTATGAACAGCGAGGAGGCTCCCCAGCTTCACGGTCCGCGCATTCCGTATCAACAGGGCGAGTGCGCTCGGAGTGTGGGGGGTTCACGGATAGAGCGTACCTTGCGCGGCCCGTATTCCGTTTTTGCCGATGACCTCTTGGAGTTTGGACTGGGAATCCCCATCCCGGTCGGAAGAGGCGGAAGGGTACTCCAGAACATGCTTGCACCTCATTGTCGGCGAATTTCCGAGAACAAAACTCCATGGATGCATGCTGGGATTCAGCGGAAGTGGCGGCTGAACATTCACTATATTTCCGTGGAATCAACTCCTCTAGAGCGCTTCAAATTGCTTGGTGATGGCTGTTCGAGCCCTGGACGATCTCTCGGCTGCTTTCATGTCGATCTCGCTCTTCTTCCTCCTGGACATTCCTCCGAGACGTCTCGTCGGCGACATCGCGCTGATTCGACCAACCCGAAGAGCAGTCGTGCAGTGGGACATATATGATACATTCATACTGCTTACTATGAGGATCTGTTCTCCGCGATTTCCAGACGAGTATTGAGGAGGAAATCGCAAATTCTCTATTCCGATCGAATTGAGGGGTGGAGGAGGAAATGACAAGCCCCTGCGCGAGTCTGAACCGGGTGCCTTACCGGGGCGTCTAAGCACCAATAGTTCGAGAGGTAGAAGCTCAGGATCGTCAGTTGCAGGGTCTAGAATCTAGAAGCAGTTTTCGTATTTATTCAGAAGATGCAGAACGCCTTGCTAATTCGGGTCGCCGAAAGTTTGTCAAAGTGAAATGGAGCGATAAATTAATCCGGGCAGGTGGACAACAAAAGCGATTAGGCGAACGATTGATGACATCGGAGCCCGTAATCACAGGATGCCGCTCGGAGTATCGAGTTGCTCGCGCTCACGCACTGACTGCTCGACGTCGCTGTCCGTCTGACCGACGTTCTAATTTTCGAGCTCTCCCTAATTTTCTCTCGCTAATTCTCCTCTCGGTAATAATACGTCGTAATAATCTATCTTGCAAAGCAAGCGAACGCGTTCCTTGTTCGAAATTGCCGTCTTCGATGCCCCAGCTCCCCCGTCGACCGGCCGACGGGCCCGCCCGGCTGCTCCTCTGCGGAGTCGTCTCCGTCGCTGTTCTCGTTTTCTGCTCGCAGTGTTGTTTTATTCATTATTCGATAATTTCTTCCCGATCTTCTCGCGGCCGATTCCCCGTCTGCCGTCCCTGACTGCTCGTATCTGCCCTTTGCGCAAGCTCTCATCTCGTTCTCTGAAGCTGACTGGGTCGCTGGCTGGCTGGCAAGACAGCTTCTCGATGCGATGATTGAAGCACAGATCGCAGTAATTAATGCCCTCGATGAGAACAAAATTGTCGACTCGGCGGGCGTAGTTGTGCCCGCAGAGGCACGAACAGTTTCGATTTTGATTCGATTCAAATCACAAGTTTGCCCTCAATTGACCCGCCGCAGAGCGAGCGAGCCGTCGAGGCAGCCGGCGGCGTCAGAACACCACATGTCCGAAAGTAGTTGTTAATCCCTGAGACATCACCAATCATTTAAAGTGCAAGGAAGCTCTCCGGTAATCGCTCCTGAGAATCGACGATGCGAATTAGTCGCTTCTCCTCGTAATCAGAGCAGCGCTTCCGTTGTGAATCCTATTTCTTTTTTCATTTAGCTCTTCACCGACGGCCAGCCGTATTCGTGACCTCTAATCATGGTGGATCATGAAAGATTCCCTTCTCCATATAGATGTTTTCTTCACTGAAACACTAAAAGCAGACGCATTGACGCGCCCTCCACCCCTCCCTTGAGGCGCTCAACGCAAAACCATGCAGCGTGACCCTGCCACTCGATGCTTCAAATGCGGCTCTGTTTCCCGAACGATTCTGAATCACCAGAACTCCCGACGATCTCTTCCGAGTGTGCTCTCCTTAATTCATGTCTTACCTTTCTTCCAGACGATCGCTATCAAGTGTTGGCCTCTGGCGAGCTGCTCATTCACAAAACTAATATGGCCGACAAGGATCGTACCTACAGATGTCGTGTTCAGGACACGGTGACGAACCGGATACTGGTCAGCGCGAAGCCGGCCTCGGCCCACATTGTCGGTGAGTACCGTTCCCGCTTCTCCGACTCTGAGGGTTCCCCAAGACACGGTGAAGCTCCCGTCTGGATGACGCACGTGTCGAACAAACATGCGGAGATGGGGCTGGAACAAATACGTGGTTCACACGCTTGTACATCTACACATGTACGGAAGGAGCTTCGCCCTGAGTGTGTTCGAAAGTGTGTCGTAAGTGACCGCGAGGAAAAATTCCATTAGTCCGTTTCTTCGTATTTTTTCGCTCGCTCCATCTATCAGGATCTCGAGCAAAACCTGCGAACCTCATCACCATCATCTTGTGAGCATCTGCTGCTAGCTCTCGACCGGGCTCAGGCTCCTCCCGGACAAGGAGTGAAAGGAGCTGTTTTCGAAAGCAGAATTCAGGAACCAGCAACGATATGCAATACATATAGGTGGGACCGCAGCGAATTCTTACCGGCTCGAAGACTGAAAATGTCATTGACAATCTTCCTGCGAATTCGGCTCTTCAACAGTTGTCCTCGTTCCATCTCTTGGAGGGACGCGGGAAAGAGGAGCAGTCGCTACATCCAGATTGACAGTGGTGTCAAATCGAGCATAAACTATTATGTTGCCGGTGGGCTGACTTTTTTTCCCTCAGTGGTCCCTCTACCGAGCTCTTCTCCGAGCAGCAAGTAGCTGAACACGGACGCATGGTTGGAGAACCACGTGAGAAACTTCGTCCGAGGGAGCGTTGAATCCGTCTCGTTGTGAGGTTTAGTTCTCTTATCTTCCGGAGAGAGGTCACGAAGGGGTTGATTCGACAACTATCGTCCGTGCACATATATCGGATGACTACGAGCGGCACTCAATGGAACATCCGATCGCGTCGGGGAGCTCGCGCTCCGGGAAATTCCGTGCAGGACGTCGGAACGGGAGTCCTCCCACTCACAGGCCGTCAGGAGGGTGGGGAGACGCCACGGTGTTGGATTTTTTAATCCGAATTCCTACGGTGCCGCATCAGCACTTCTCCCCATCCGGAGACGAAATTCAATGAGCCGTAATGTCAACTCGTTTCCTGCGTTCCTCATCGAGGTGGCGCGCTGTTTTTTTCTGCCCCAGATGCGTCGATGGGCCAATGTTGGTGCCACAGTTCACCCCACCCGACTCGTCGTGCGAAACCGTCCAACTTGACGCGTCTGTCCCCGTGCCCCGTAGGAGTCTCCGCCTTCCCGAATGCCGATTTGTTCGTTTGTATGTATGTTGTAGCCCTCGTTCTGCGTCCCGTTCTTCCTTCGTCTTGATTCTCACTCGGTAATGCTTTTATCGGCTTCCGATATGACGCAATGATACATCGGAAACAAATCCAGGTCTACGGAGGAATCGTTGCGCGGTTCCTCGGTGTGTCCCGAAGCCTTTCCGTCGCATTCCACACAATGCTCACAAACACACAAGCCCGCACCCGCTGATCATACACAGTATCGCGGTAGTCTCTAGGGCGATTTAGAGACTCGGGAGACGATTGGAGTCCCAGTGGCGAAACGTGGAGTGGGATTGTGGGTGTGCTTTCTCCTCCCCTCCGGGACAGCTCCGGATCGTATGAAACAATCTCTGTCCAAGATAATTTCTTTATGAACGAGTATGGACACCGCTCTGGATGAGTTCGATAAGCTCCGTCTCGAGGCTCGTTCTGAGATCCACTGGGCGTCGGGGAGTTTGGTTTCGCGACCATCGGAAAAACAACTGGTCAGGATTCCACGATGAATATTTTATTTCTACTGTATCCCAAGATTGAAGACAGTTTGACTCGAAGATCACGATGGAAGGCATATCGCGAGAGCTCCCCAGAATGAAAAGTTCGCTTCCGCGCTCAGACGCCAAAGTCAGGCACATCACGAGACACTGAGTAGGCGACTCCAAGAATGAGTACAATCAGAAGTTTGACGAAATTTAAATGTCGCTTCCGAACGACGAAAGTCGGATGCGCCGCTCGCATCCGAGAGACGACGCTCTGCACTTCTGACTACGCTGCGGAGCCACCGTATTCGATACGGCCCTGTGTAGCACGAGGAACATATTCGTACATTTAGAAGCGAATAGCTAATTTTTGTAAGCAAAGGCCTACGGTCCTTGAATTCCGGCTCCTTTGAATATTGAGCCTCGACGTCACGCCGAAGAACAGGGAAAATCACGCGGCTCGATGATCCTAATACAAGAAGCCACGACGGGGGGTCTCCGGCCGGGATTCTCATTCGCCTTTGAATATTCTTCGAAATCGGATGGTCGGTTCAGAACCAGGGGCTTCGGGGAGTACGACAGTCGGAAGAGAGAACAAGGAGGAAATTTCGAGAAAAAGTTGGAAGAAAGCTAATCACGTCCTTGATGGCACCGGATGCCTCCATTTTCGCTGCTAGCTGGCTTGTATCCTCGAGTTTGCTCATGAATGATGCTGCAAGTGCCGCCGCCGACCGTCGCAGTCCGCGTCGCGTTGCCTCGGCCACCGGCGGTTCATTCGATCCGGCGCGGCGTCCCGGTCGAGATATAGAGCCGACCGAGGGAGGGAGAATCTTCGGCCGGCCATCGAGCCCTCACGGGGTCTGGCGAGCTTTCCGGGGGATCCCGGGGCGAGGAGTTCTTGCTTCTTAATTCATTGTCGCACGACCCGCTCGCGCCTTCGCGTCCGCTCGCTCACGGGTTCATTCGCCCGCTTAAAATATCGGAAACTTTCTCGGATTCGCCGATGGTGGCTGACTGCTTCTTCCTGCTAGCTGTGATTCTCACGAAACGGATGGGGACGGCCGGTCGCGTTCACACTCTACTACGAACAGATAGACAAGACGGCAAAGCAAATGGAGCCAAGCAAAGAAGCCTTCGGCGAACGACGACCGGATTTGTTCGTTTGAGTCGTCTTCGCTTGCTTTCTCTTAATCGCAAAACGATACGAATTCCAGCACACTCGGATTCCAGTGGGTGCTGTCACACGTTGCACGATGCATTCCGCATTCTTGACCTCGCTTGATTTTGCTGACTGTGTCGCTCCGCCGCGCCACCGCCGCCTCGCCGCCGGCACGTCAGGCTCCCGAGCAGCATGACAGACTTGGCACACGGAGCGAAACTCTCGCGAGAAAGTGACCCTCACGTGAGTGCCGGGAAGCTTCGTTCTCCCCGTTCATGCTGAACATCCGCGACCTCGAGATCATCCTTGGAAATTCCACGCGCTGCTCCCCGTGGTTCCGAGGGCCCAGCCCGTGGGGTCAGACTCTGTCGGTCGCGATTCAGACCGCTTCGCAGTGTGTTCTCCCGAACGCTGCGGGGAACGGGCTTAAAATCGTTTTCCGAATTTTTTTCTGTCAAAGAAGAGTCGCTCCGCCGTGAAAAGGTTTGCGAACAAAAAGACAGTTCCCGTTGTCTCCCACAAAGCTGAGGCCACTATTGGGGCTTCACTGCACAGGCCGACCCACCGACCGACCAGCCCACCGACCGACCCATTCGGGTCCGGGGAGGAATAAAAAAGACCATCGGGATAGGTTGGAGTCGGAAGATCGGACTGGGGGCGAAATTAGCTCAAGTCGCTTGCGGTCGAGCGACAAGAGGTCGCAAAGTGATGACGAAGCAGATCTTTCGGTCGCTCACTTGCCAGCGAGCGATCTAGCTTGCTCCGGGACGGGCGGCGGCGATGGGCGGGCAGTGATCGGGCGGCCATCGTTCGCTGGCGGCATGAGTTCTGGCGGTTGCGGCGTTTCCTGCAAATTAGTGAAACAGCTGAGCGCGCAAAATCGAGTCCGCCATCGCCTCGACTCCTTCCGCTGTGCCGCGAAGACTCTTCGCGGCCCTTTTCCCCTGACGGCGGCCGACATTTTGAAGTTTGCGGACGCGAGATTCTCTGCGGACCATTATCTCATGAATGATGTGGGAAAGCAAACTCCGCTACTGACGAGTGGAATCGAGGAGACGGAATTCGGTGCGAGGGTTGAATAAAAAATCGACGTCCCGAATCGACGTGGGGCGCACGATGAACCCACGCATCCAGGAGAGGAGCTCGTGCGCGAAATTTCATGATCCCTACGGGAAACGGGTAATTCATGGGAACGATTACGGCTACTAAGTAGTTCCCAGCGGGAGGGAGTGCATTCGCTGACAACGAGACGCAAAAACTCATTCTTTCGGATTGGAAGCATTGAGAGCAACTCGGCGAGTAGCAGCTCAAAGCCTCGCAGTATAATAAGCTTTGGAAGAAGCTTGTTGCGGGCTTCTGCCGTTAACTTGTCTGATCGCGGCAGCGGAGGCTTTCAGCGAGTGGGGTACGAGTGAATGAGCGAGGAAGTAAAACTCCAGCGGGCTGGGACACCGCTGGAAGAAAAGACGGGGGCGGAGAAGAAGCGAGAGTTAGCTCAAAGCTGCCTGCGCAGGCTCCCGCTGCCTAATAAACGGAAAATGGTCTGGTTGAAAGGATATGGGACCACTCGAGCGATAGGTGTATTGGATTTCAACTTTTCCCCGTAATTGGCCGCGTGAGAAAAAAACGCCATTGCTGCTACCGCTCCCGAGCGCCGGGGACGGCGTTCCCTGCGAGGAACCCACCGACCCGACGAGCGGCTCCCGTCAAATCATTTCTGATGAAAGTCTAATGTGCCTGAAGGAACAACTCCTGAACTCTACCATTCATTGCAGATCTCCAGAACGAAGTTCCACCTCGCGCGGAGCTTGTCCCGAAAGAGCTATCCAGACCATCAAACTCGCGACCAATCAGCGTCCCTTGTGTTTTTTCGGGAAATCCGACGCCGAACGTAACGTAAGTAGATTGATGTGCTTACTTAGGTTTCGCCGCCGCCGCGCCGTCGTCGTCGTCCCCGTCGTTGTCTCCGTTACATCTTATCTGTTCATCGAGCCCCTCTCCAGCACTCACTCACTGAGTCAGTCAGACTTTCAGTCTGAGAGCCCGCTATGACTCGGGTTTCCTCAGCCCATCATGCCCGCCCGACGAAATTCGGCATGTGTTTCTCCCATGTGCTGGGCTTTGCTCCGCGGGGATCGACGACACGGAGTGGCGAAAAGACGGAATTTCGGGAGCGACCATCTCCCTCTCGCTAGATCGAGTCCTTGCCGTTGTCGCCACTTATCTCTCGAATAGCTCGTATGTTTCTCTTCGGCCAGCGCGTGAACGGTGCCCCGCAGCCTCTGAGATCGGCAGGAACTTCAGCGCGCGTCGCACACCACAACCGCCGTGTCGGCTACACGTCGGCTTATCAGTGAGGATGTGTGGGCGGACGAATGAGCGGCCGTGGCAGAGCGCCCGCTGCTGACGCTTCGCCCGCGGGCGTCTTGCCGTTCTCGACGTCCATGTATCTATCTTTACGAGTGCAACCGTTATGTTCGAGGGGGAAATGCGTCGCTTCGAATGGCGGTTTGACCAGCAGGGGGAGCAGAGCGGCAGCGTCCGCTTTCGAGGGGGGAACCTCAGATGGGACGAAGAACTGCGAAGAAGAGCGACACCGGGCAGCTCGAGCGGCGCGGGACAGCCGAGGCGGGAGCGACGAAAAGGATAGGACCGATGGATGTAAAAACCTGGTTGTAAGAGCATCTTGTAAATAAACAACGATCGCGTTGGGGGTGCTTGCGGTAACGACAACGACGACTGCAACTACTGCGACAAGCAGAGACGACGGCGAGTTATGACCTGAGCACTTCGGAATGAAGTGAGAGCAGCCGCCTCCTGCGATGCCAAACTATCCCCTGGAGTCAACATCGCTTCCGTACTCGCTCTCTCCTCTTCAGAAAGCAAGGATTACACACCGACCTGGGCATCGCTCTCACTCAGTCAGATGTACCTAATCTTACTTCTTATCAAGTCGTCCAATCCGATGAGGCGAGGAAGCCTCGTGTCAAGTCGGAGTTTGCCGGACGCTCTCGGGTCCAGCGGGCTGAGAGCATTGTCAGATGATTTTCCCTCAGAATACTCGACGCGTGTTGGCGCTCATGGTCATCGAAGGTGCGTCGAGCAGAAATTCCTCTGTCCGGGGAGAGGCTGCGTACCGCATCGGGACGCTCTCGGAGAGAGTGCTCGACATCAACTCGGTGGAAATATTCGATCTCCTCGTCGTCGTCATTATGTTCGCGACCAGATGTCAGATGAGCCCCTTCCTGACTCCGCCGAACCCTTATTGAGATACATTCTCACAATTCGTTGTTCCCCCGACGTAATTGGGAATGAACCACCGCCAAAGAGGAACGATGCTCGAGTCTCATGGTCCCAGGAGTAGGATTGTTCAAGAGTCCGGAAGTCGATCTAAGAGTCATCGGAGGATCGGAGCTCACTCACTCACGAGTGATTGCTCGTACCAATATTTTTCCACGGACAGAGACGGTGTACAGAGCGGGAGAGAATCGGTCACCCCGATGGGCATGTCGCCTGTATCGGCGATTTCATCCGTGAGTCAATGCGCATAGTCCAAAAAAAACTGTAAACCTCAGAAAAGAGATTCACGACGAGTAACATGAGAAAAAAAATCTCTGAAAGTGGAAAGCCTCCGGGCGAGAAAATTCGAAAGAGGAGGAAACTTTGAACGGTCACTGATCTGGAAATGGCGGCGCATCGGCGTACATTCATGATAATGGCTTGTAAACTTCATATTCTTCCTGTCTGCGTCGTCGTGTGAGGCGAGCAAAACCCATTTATGATGTCCCTCCGCAGACGAGCAAACCAGCGATCCCGCTCGTGCAGTGATCTAGTCAGAAGAAGAAACTCCGACACAGGGATAAAAAGAGAAGCGAGTGGCTTTTGCAAGATTGAATTTATTCTCATTTTATAATAGCGTATAAAACGAATATGACCGCTAGCCCACCCGACCACCCGCAAGTTCTGCAAGCGGGCAGCAAGCCCGCTTTACGGCTGCTTTTGTCGTCGGGCGTGGGTCCGTTGAATTTCCATCGACAAGGTGCCGCTGAAGGCTACGCCACGGAAGGCCTGGAGCTTCCTCTGCCGCTGTCTATCCTCTCATTTCTTCGAACCCGAGTCAGGAAGAAATGAATTAGCCCGGATGCGTGAGGGCAATCGGAAGACGAGCGGCTATTTCTAAGACATTGGTGATTGCCCCGAGAAACTGGGTTGCGGCAGGCCCACAGAGCTCAAGGTTTTCGTCTCCGCTCGACTTCATTATCCGCCGTGAACAATATTTTTCAGCGGTTCAGATGAATGAGAGCGTAGGCAGGGCCCGCGTTCCGTAAAAGCAAACATTTTTAGCTCGGCCGCAACCGTCGCGAGAAGGCTTTTGTTCTCTTGTAAGAACTGCCGCCACACTCCGTCAAATAAAGACACGGAGCGAGAGATCCATTGCCAGCGCTAACGAAGTAAGCATGGCATGAAGTGAATGAGTCCTCGACCCAACTCGGAGCCGACTTCAGCCGAGCATAACTTCACTGCCTCCGCCGTCGTCGTCCTCGCTGTCGACGTTTTCTTGGTCGTCGCGGGATGTCACTCTGGATGGGGATTCGAGGGAGCTGTGGCGAAAGCTTCGCTTGGAAGAAACTGGACGTCGTTGTCGTCATCCGCGTCTGCGATGAGAGAGGATCGGTAGCCTCCGCCAAGGTTTCGGTCCCCTTTCACCTCTCGTGCAGACACGGCCCCCGTCTCTTGGAAGGGTGGGGGGCGGGAGCGAACAGCGAATTAGGGAGGCAGACGCTTGAAGAGTTGGCGTCGCTCGCTCGTTCATCCGCTCGGTTCCTCATTCTTGGCTGGATGCTCTATGAGGGGGAGATGGAGAAGGGGGGAGGGGCAGGGGCAGGCACCGACGACGTCGGAGGAATCGCGCGGAAGGGAGACAGCCAGCTGTATTGTGGTTTGTTCGCGACTCATTACCTCCTGACTTGAGCTTCTTGCCGTCCCCAAGCGAGCGGCCGACCGACCAGCCGTCCGTAGGTCCCTCCGTCTAGTCGCTCCGTAGGTCGTCTAATTTCGCCCCGCCAACGAACCCAAGATGAACGACGAGACAATGACGGAGAAAAGGCAGAATTCGTTGTCGACGCTGCGCGAACACAACCCTGACCACAACAATAAAAATATACCGAGCGTCACTTAAACAGTTCATGCAGCGTTCGCGGTTTAGCGGTCTCAGCCGACGTCGAGTTCCATCCGTGGACTGACTCTCTTCCGCGTCAGAGGAGTCGCGCGTGAACTTCCCGCTCGATCGCTGTCGTCGTCGAATGCTTCAATTCGATATGAGGGAATATGAGGAGCGAAGATATTCGAGAGGGCGGCAATCGGAACGGGCATAGGACCCGAATCTATTGACCCCGATGAAACTCCATGATAGAGATGGCTGCCGCCACCGACTCTCTGTGTATCGAGTCTCTCGCTGCTCGCTTGCGCTTGACGATTGGTCGGTCGGTCGCCCGACCGCCCGCCTGCCCTGACCGGCACGGAAATGTTCGTTGTCCTATGATCCGTATAAAAAAAACCTTTAGTGAAAAATCCCCTTTTCCTCCGCCAGCTTGCTTGGCCTTACTCCATTTGGTTTTTATCTGTTGTGTGCTGCTGCTGCTGCCGTCGCCGCCGCCGCCGTTTCCCGTGGTGCAGCTTTTCCGGGAGGCTAATGTTGCCCTCGGAGAGATGCTCGCCCTTGCTCCCCACGTTTTCGTCTCCATTTTTTCTCCGTTCTCCCCTCATCGTTTTGCGTCTGGTGGAGGAGCGAACCGTGAGCCTGCTCACCAGTCAACCGAGCAAACCAGCCGAGCGCCCTACCGCATTTACGATACAATTGACACCTGGCGATATATCTTTCACTCGTGAGAGAAGCCGAACTGGATGTCCCATGGCAATGATATTGTTGTCCCTCCTCCTTTGTGATTCGGATTCGATCAGTTGCTACTGCCGCTGTTCTCTCCACCGATGTCACCGTCACCAGACGAGCGGTCGCTTTCAAAGACGAAATGCCCAATCGCTCTTCAGACTCACCGTGACGTAGGCTCCATTTTCTCGCCCCTCCACCGCAATCGTGATTCCGAGGGGCCCCGTGATTCCTTCACTGCCCCCTCCCCCTTCGGCTTCCTCTCCCCCGACGTCGTACGGCTTACACTCGCTTTCAGCCTCCTCTCATTTTACTATCTCTATCGAACGGTCTAAGAGCTTCTCGGACCGGAACTACGCTTGGCTCAAGAATGCAGGCAGGCGGTCAACATTCGGTCGGCCTTCCGGTTTAGATGTCGACGTGCTCGTCCGCGGGTCATGGGAGGCACCGTTTCGGCGGTGGCAGCAACAACAACGACAGCATTTTGAGAGTCGTCCAATGGGATCGCCTTCCTCGGTCGAGTCGTCCACGAACTCTTCCCTCTGTCCTACCTCCAACCGTCTCGAACTCACTACGTACCTACATTCAGGGGAGTCGCCGACAGACAAAATCTGCATTGGACATGTACTCTGAGCCCGTCGACGTCGGTCGTTGGATGGCTGACTTGAAACGAGATTCCGAGTCTCAAGAGTTTCTCACTCAACGATGAAGCGAAACAGCAGCCTGGGGACGGAGTACGTTTGAGCCGAGATTCTCCCAGACTCGTCGCGCCCCTTCGCCCTTGGAAATTCTTTCACTGATACGCCTCGAGAGTTGGGAGGGAAGGTCGAAGTGAGAGTCTGAATTTAATGTGTCGCTATCACGGCATCAGGTCATCGTGAAAGCTCGCTTCTCATTAACGAGCATGCGAACCTCGTTTGGCAGGGCCCTGCGGGCAAACAATACGTATACGACACGTCGGTCGTCGTCGACGCCGACACCGCGGCATGCGATTCCGCAGGGTCATTGCGTCTGCGGAACCGTCGCTGTCGTCAGCCAGAGCACTGCCAGCCACCGCCTCCCGTACACCGACGCCAACAACCATCGTCGTCGACGCCGTCGTCGACGTCACCGCTGCTGTTCCTGTTCTTGCTGTTGATGCTTGTTCGGTGTCATCACAAGGAGGGAGCAGCGGCCGTGAGTAAGCAAGGGGGGAAGCTACTAGACGGGATGCGGACAAGGAACAGAAGAGGGCAACACGGAAGATGGGAGACCGTGTCGTATGTGTTATCATGGTGGTGTTTCTATTGTTCCTTTGTTGTCGACGACAGCAACAACGGTGACGACGATGACGATGACAACTCTGTTATCGTTCGTGTGTAGTAGACCTAGCGAAAACGGCATCGCGATTATTTCGGAACGGTCGCGGAAAGACGTTCCGTTGAGAGACTGTGTGTAAGAAGATAGAAAATGAAGATCGTTTGCGGTTCGCACTGACCGGCCTTTGTACATTCAGTGGACGGAGGCCATTTCTTCGATTTGGGCGCCGCCCCATCTAGATCTATCTGTTTTCCAAATGACCTCGAGGAAGGAAGAAGATTCCCGAATCGAACCATTTGCGAAAATGCGAATCTTCCTGAGCTCTTCCCTTTGATTCCGCAGATTTTTCGTGAGGGACGGACGCAAGAAAATACCTCTAGCAAACAACCCGAGCTACACCGTCGAGTACAACGTCGTAACCTTCCGACCGAGTCACGAGGTCGTCATCGAGTGCCGAGCGAGGAATACTGTCAGCGAGACGAAAGCTGAAATCGTCATCTCGGGTCCAAGAGGTGAGTTTGATCTCTCCGATACTTTTCCCCATTACGAGCCGTTTTCCTTCGTTCACACTATCTGAGAAATCCCTCGATTCGAGCCCACGATCATCGCCCGCCGATTGATCGAACGAGCGAACCACGACGAACGAATGTTCAGACATCGCTCTCAAGTTTGATTCGTGTTGCAATCAGGTCGAGAAGAATGAATTTGAAGCGAGCCGTTCCGGCGGAGCGGGCGAGATAACTCCGCGACAGCTTGAAACAAAAGAGGAATCGAGAACAGTAGAATGAAGGAGAGAAGAAACGAAACATCAGGAGACAGAGATTGGGAATGGGATGGGTATTCTGATCGGGTGTTCCGTTCTGAACCGATCCTGCGGCTGTCAAAGGCGAAGGTGGACAGTCGAGGGAAGCGGATTGGTCCGGGCACCGACAGAACTAAAATAGAAGATCGACAACTCTAATCAGTTGAGGGTCGAACCCGACCTTGATTCGACTACTTGCACCGGAGGAGCAGAATCTGGGACCGACGCGGCAAACGGAGAACTTGCGTCTAGCTAAGAACGTAGCGACCGATGCGTCGCCGACGAGTGCCGCACTCTCGACGGTGACGCAAACCGAAATATCTCGCGTGGCTCTGTTGCGGGTCGGCAGTATAGGGTTGGCGCTTTGCATTTCGAGCAATATTCCAGCAGGCTCCTCGCAATACTCCCGCAGTTCCGAGCAGATTTCGTGACGCTCCTCGCGCGGAGCTCCCTCGGTGTTCAAACACGACCCTCGAATATCCCGCATTGCTTTTCTCAGTCGGAACTCTTCCGACGACGTTCCTCCGCATATTGCTGCTGCGTCCGACCTCGCCTCGGCCGCACGGGGACTTGAAGGACCGCCGAAAAAAAGAAGAAACTTAGCAGAACGAGTGTCCGCATAACGGATTCTTCTGCTGTCGCATAAAACAGCGAACGGAAATCGTTCGCTCGCTGCGCCGCGGCACGAGTCTAATTACCCCGAGCGAAGGTCAAGACTCCCGGTTCTGCTCCTCTTTTTTCTTGACATTCTTACCGCTCTCCACGTTTTCGGTCGTCGCGCTCTTTGGCGAAGTTTCCCCTGTTGAAGTCGTTCGCCTCTTGAATTCTCGAGAGCACGAGGATACTTGGCCTACGGATGCTCCGAATATTTCGGTGGGTTGAGCGCTGAAAGCGAGAGGTCTGGTTGTGGATCTTGCGAAAAATTCATCTGTTTTCCCTCACGAAACACGAACAGACTCCGTTCCGTATGTATTGCAACGCAATTCCTTCTTCGTGACGAGCACGACCGCATCGAGAGCAGAAAGAGAGGAGGCGCGATGAATGAAGAACGCATGTAAACTCGTGCCGCTTGGTGAGTCTCTAAACAGCGCTCAGGAAAAAGAAAGACCTTCTCGCCAAAGCCAGCGATTCAGACGACCATCCAGTCCGCCAGTCACTCAGTCAAGCACTAAGCCGGCCAGCCGGCCGGCCGAGTGTCGCCATTTTACTAATGTGCCCTTGGAGAGGCATAAAAACTTCGTCCCTTCGCGTTTGAGTTCCGTACGTACCTCCGTTCGCTTGTCCATCGGTTTGTCCGAAAGTCCATCTCCCGCCTGTCCCTCGGATCTCCGTCTGTGAACTGCACGGTCCGCCGGTGGAGAGAGGGAAACGTTCTGCTCGTGCCAAGTTCCTTTTCGAGCGGGTTCGCAACTTGCTTCGGTTTCACCGGTGGCGTGGTTTTGTTTCACCGCTTTTATCACGACAAGTCGGTCGCTTGAGGTGGCTCGCTGACGGATGGTTCGCTTCTTCGCTCTCTCAAGACACCCGTGAAGGAAACAGTGGCGGCGATACAGCAGCAGCAGCAACAACAGCCACGGCGACGAGGACTCGAGTCGATGTCCCAGGACGACTCGACGGATCGCAAGCAAGGCGGCGGAACTCGGACCTTGGTGAAGGAGGGAAAGAAAACAATTCAGCGAGTGGCTCTTCTTCTCCGATCTCGTTTAGAGAACTGTAACGAGCAGCCATCGTTCAAGGGACTCACTCGTGGGTTTTCCACCAGATTTCGGAAATCGTCGTTTGGGTTTCATTTTTTTATTCTTCCCCAATCCTCGGGATTCCGGACTCTCTGACATGTAGCACTGTGCCTCTGCATCTCCGCGTGGGAGCAGAATGATTCATTCGCTTAGTCTCGGAATGGATTATCGCGTCGCGGAGCGACAACGCGCCTCGGACGTGCTTCGAGCGAATGCCCGGACCGGCTCTCGGCTGCCGCTCTGGAAATCAAGACATTGATTTAGGCAAATATTGCAAATCGAATTAGGACGCTGTTTCAAACGCCGCACGATGGTCGCCGCCGCGATTCCCGTCGTCCACTCTGCCCCCTGGCGTCCCCCGCTGCCGCGGACAGGAGTCCGATGAAAAATGAGGGTTCGCTTATGCCGATGGCCTTCTACAGTTCCTCAGCTGACCGGCTAGCCGTTTCGGTCATCCAGCGAGGAATGGAGGGAGTGAGGGGCCGGCCGGACGGCTGGCAGGAAGCAAGGCGAGGTCCTGCCGGAGACTCCTCAGCTCCAGTGGTCGCGTTACGGACCAAGTGAAGGAGGAAACAGTCTGCTGGCTGGCTGGCTGGACGGCTGACTGACTGGCTTCAGAGAAACCAAGATAGATGAACACGTTCCTTCTCCTGCCTCGTCGTGTGCCTGCCCCCGCCGTTTTCGTCCCATGACCGCCAGTCACTACTCGCACGACGTCGACATCAACAACACGCTGCCGTTGTGAGCAGAGTCCTTTTGACCACGTTCCCCCCTCCAGCGTCTTCCTCGCCCGGCGAGGACTTTCATGATTTGTGATCGTTTGTTTCCCGACTTGCTGCGGCAGCAACAACTGCACCGACTTTTCGAATGTGACCGAATCGTCGAAGTTGAAGGGTCCCGACCGTTCGAACGCCGCGAGCGCGGCTCGGGAACGCGAGGGGAGAGGCCACGGCAGCAACAGCGGGGCTGAAAGTCCTCGAGAGAACCGCGCCGGGATATGGTACGTCGCGTCGCCGCGAGATCGATCGATTCACTCAGGGCCGGCGTCCATAGGGTCGATTCGGATATTCATCTACCGCGAGGGACGATTCGATGATTCGCTCCGAACTTCAAATCTTGGCCAGCGCGTGTTCCGAAGCAACGCAAATCGTTGAGAGAAGACAAAGCGCTTACGCTCATCCCCGGCTCGAAGACAGCTCTCGATATACCGACACAGCCTGTTGGAGGGAATGGCTCAGCCATCGATCGTTTTCTTGATCACCCGCGCTCTTAATACTCTGACGTCTTCCATTTTTCTTCTTTCTCCAAAGGGTCCATCAATTGCACCAATAACATAATGAACGTCTCGGGAAATTAGATTGTGTTCGTTGTACGACGTCGACAACAACACGGAGCCCGCCCACGATCGAGCCTGCGGCCGGCCCCAGACCGATATGCGGCGCAAGTACGAGAATGTCGAATACCCCTAAGGAGAAGAAGAGATTTTTCACGCGCGCGGAGGAGAACTCGCTCAACTTCAACGAACACCGGAGAGTCTTTCACCGACTCCGAGAGAGGAGAGTAGGCAGACATCTGCGATACACCAGGCGGAAGGATCGCCGCAGGCAGACTCCACTTGAAGAGCGGCGCGGCCTGAGCACCGGGAGGATGGAGGGGGGAGGAAGGAGGGGGAGGGGTCCGGGCCTTTCCGTCAGTCATCTGAGCGCACGATTCTCGAAGATGCATACATACTTTATATACATCACATGCGCTCTGCCAGAAGCGGCCATTGCGACGCTGCTCGTTCCCACAGCTGATCCAGGGCACCGCCAGCTGGCGTGAAGCTGCTCTGAAGCCGAACAAGTGCTGAGCTCGGTGGTAACGACATTTGAAGCGTTCCACTGCGAAAGAGCACATATCCGCCCTTGCATGAAAATTTTAATCCCAGACTTGACGGCGTCTGCTGGAGAATCACGGAAAACGAGTCGAATATCCCTTCTGCCGGAACCGTTATTTGATAACGAATCACGGGACGGGACGTCTCGATATCCGACATGTTACGGATTCGCGCGGATTACGAGCACGAAGTCATCCTCTGAACTGTTCGGCTCTCCGCTCCGAATTTTAAGCTGGGAGCGTCGAGTCGTTTCTCTCCCGGGAGCAAATGAAGCGGAAATTTCGTAGCAGTCGACCTCTCGTTTCGATCGTCGTCGGTTGCGGAGTGAATGGTTGATTATTTACACTTTCGCTGCTTCTTCGCTCGGCCTGCGCTACCGCGAGCGAGAACCTCACGAAGATCTAATGAGCATAATTGACACCGACAGAAGCTGAATAGCTTTCCCGCTAGAGGAGTCTGAGCTTTTGAAACGGGTGTCATTGCGAGAAACTACCCACAGAGCGGCTGCGGGGCCAGGTGTATTGCCCTGCATCGTAGATGCCCGAATACTTAAGCGTCGGGAAGGCGCGTGCTCAGCGCGCCTTACTCGGAGTCCTCGAGCAGTTTCATTGCTCTCCCGCGCACTACGTCGTGACCCGGGTCCGTGACACGTGAATGTGAGAGCACGTCTTCCATTCCGCGGAGTCCATTCCGCGAGAAGTAGCGGGCTTCGTGGCGCGAAAAACCGCTACCGATGCGGTTTGCGTCGGAACCGCTTCGATTTTCCCGATTCTAAGCGAGTTCTCCCTCTCATTTCCAGAACGCATAGTTGTCACCCTCGATCCTCCTCATCAAGTCATCGACATTTTGACAACAGCCACGTTCAAATGCCGCACCAACGCCTCGTACTCGAGCATCGGCTGGATGCACAACGGATATCCCATCGACTCGAGTTCACGGTAAGTTTCGTTCATCTGCCGAACGCCGTACCGGGGAAAGCTCCGGCTGCACGATGCTCCGAAAGGAAGTTATCCCTCGGGGAGATGAGAAGGTATCCGACCGTCTGAGCCGCGGATTTTCTTTTTTTGGACGAACCGAGCTCCCCCCTCATAATTGAAAGTCATAAGAACGGTTTGTTTGCGATGCGAACGATCCGCGATTCCGGTGCTCCGCAGCCGAGACCGCGCCACGGACGGTCCCAGAGCTCATTCCGAACAAACAACTGGCTTGCCGCTTCTCATCATCCCGTCGATGCGGGGGACGTGCGCGAGCGAGTCTCGACCGAGATGCTGTTATGCAGATACTGTGACAGACAGGAGGAGGCGCGGCCGACAGAACTACTCGACGAGGAGATCCACGACCGTATAAGCTCGGCGTTCGGCGCCAACATGTCCGTCCATGCGGCTTGTCCGACTACGCGGACCACTGCTCCGAAGCCTATTTCCAGTAGTCGTCGTCGCCGCCGCCGTCGTCATCGCAGAAGTAGCCAGTGCCTATATGAGCTTACGGCATAGGCCATTAGATGGTGTGCCACTTTGCGTAATGGGCTTCTCTCTTTCGGCTCGAGTCGGCAACAGCCAGCGAACTGGTTAGCCGTCCGGGTTTCCATTCTGCGAGTACTGTACAAGCTCGCATAGATTCCTCGCGTCTGTGGCAATGCATATCCGCGCGGTAACGTCCAGTGCGCGGGCTGCATGCGCATTCGAACACGAGGCACTAGAGCATTCGGAAGCGACGATAGCAGCGTGGACTTCGGGTGGCCGAGCACCGCTTGTTGGACTGTTCGAATCCTTTGAGAGCCACGATCCGCGCTACGTCCGGGGGAAAAGTCCAAAATACCCCAGTCAGCGAGTCAGGACCCGCGATCGTCTGTCTGGCTGGTCGGCCGGCCGGACGGTGGGTCGCCCGGTCGGTCGTTGGACCCTCCGTCGTCGGTGCATCGATTTCCATATTTGGAATGATCTCAACAAATAGAAGCCATTGTCTTCATTGAGACTCGTTCGAGTCGAACAGACGACTTCTTCTTGATATCTGCACAATGCAACTCAAAGACGGCCGCGGCGGCGACAGCTCAGAATTCTCCCTACCGTCGAGAGAAAACTGTCGGACTCACTTTGGACACGCGTAGCGTTCCGGGGTCGTCGCGAGCGGATAGAGTCCGTTGGTTCGTCTGTCTTTCTTTTCTCCCTATGTCTGTCTCACGATTCGGAGCGAACTCACTGAAGCATCTGACGTCGTGTCTTCTAGGGCGCAATGCAAACACGACGTTGCCGTCGCCACCCACTCGACCAGCCCGGTCTCTTTCCTTCGTTGCCCCTGACCAAGTCTCTGCCGCTCCGTCGTCCTCTCACTCGGTGGATGCCCTCGTCCGACCCTCGGATTCGCCTTCTCCGGTCGCTTTCCCCCGGCCGTCTTGTCATAAGCTGCCGATGTTCGTTTCACTTCTTTGCGCTCACGTAAACCGAAGAGACGAGCTCATATTCGAGGGCCGACAAAGGCTGCCACGGCTTCTGTGTCGCGGAGGGGGAAATTCTCTGATCCATCGCAACGGTCTCTCTAGAGAAGTTTCCGCCCGGACTGCGGCTGAATATTATTCCTTTGGATGGAGCCAACTATCCGTGATTCCGCTCCCGTAAATGTGACGATGAATTCTAGGGATTTATTGAAGTGGCTCCGCACTCGAACCCTGAGCGCTTTCGTGCGTGGATCCGCGAGAACCTGGGTTCGCGCTCCGGAGGACCGAACAATAATCTCGAAATAGACCTTCGCTGGAAATTTCGAAAGCGATGACCATTTTCCGATGGCGGGGACCGCAGGAGAAAATCTCCGACGCCAAGGATGCGATCGTTGCTTCGGCCGCCGGGTCAAGTCCATTTTCGCACTTGCTCGGCGCGTATCGGCTGGTCTGATAGATCGCGATACGCGGCTGGATTGCCATCGGTATGCATCGGGATAGAGTCGGGTCGAACGTTGGAGTGCCCGTCGGCGAGCAGCGTCACGACGGACGCGGACACAAATTATTCATTCCTTTGTTGTTCTGTCGATTCCCGTGGCTCGCCCCGATCTCTCGTCAGCTGTCCATGGCTCGGGCGTCTGATTGACCGGCGGGGCGACCAGCCGCTTGCCCGCCCGTCCGCCCGCTGAAGGGATTTTCGAATGGAGGAGAGGGCTTGGCATGGGGGTCGGACGAGAGAAAAGACCATGCGATATTAACCTCGTGCAAACGTATATCTCTCGTTAGTCAGTCAGTCAGTCGGTCGTTCGGTCGGTGGCTTTCTCCCCCTAGCGGTGACAGCTCTCTGTGATGTCGTCGACCTTTCGCGATCCCTTCAAGTTCTGATTTAGTCGCTTGCCGCGAGGTCGCTCCCATCGGTCGGACCTGCGGCCCGCTCGATGGCCGAGCCGATCGCGTGGTTGCCTGAATAGAGGCCGTGCCGCTGGCTGAGTGAGAGGCTATTCGAGCTGATTGGGGGTCATCAGGCTGTGTTGACTCCTCTCTTCTGTCTCATCGCTCGGTGTGCTCTTCCGATTCTATTTCTCGCTTCTTACTCTTAACCTCTGTTTGCGCCGGCGCTTTTTCCTCCAGTTCCGAACCCACTAACTCGTCCACTAACCCGGTCTTCGATCCCTTCCGCAAAGCCGCGGCTGTTTACTTTGGCGTAACGCGATATCTGGCTTAATTATCGCCGTCCAGCTATCTAATTGGCTTTGAAGTTCACTTTGAGTGCTCGCAAGCTTGGTGTTCGGCTCTTGCTTATCCGGCCGAGAGCTGGATTAGCTCAAATTTCTGACACTCGATCCCGTGTTAAGTTCCCCGAGCCAAGCGACAACTTGCGGCCCACACGCGCTGGGCCACTTATTAGCGCCAGTACTCCACACCGAGTAATGATCCGGACGAAATCTCATAGCGGTTCAGCTTAATTCCATTGAATCGGGTTCCCGGTAACGGAGCAGCGTGAATCCGGGACCACGTTTTTTGCGTTCGCTGACCCCTCAAGCCGGACGCGAATCGGATCGGGCTCCGACACGGAACTCCATTCTACTTCCTCTTTCTTTGCCAGGTTCAGCATTCACAAAACGAAGGAAGGGAGCTCGCTTACTATTCATCGAGTCACGATGGCCAACTCCGGCATCTACCAGTGTATGGTGTCGACGACGTCCCTCGTCCAAGTCGCCCAGGCATCAGCGGAGCTCAATGTACTGGGTAAGACCAAAAAAATATAAGGGGGAAACGTTCTGTTACATAAAGAGTCGTGGCCAAATAATTACGACTGGTCGCTCGTCGAGCGACGAAGCAACAAACTAGTTAGCCGTCCGAGCAATTGAACGCCAAAGATTCATGAGGGACAGTCACTCAGCTCCGAGAGGGTCTGCGAAGAAGCTTCGAACTCTGTGAGCGAAGGCTTGTGCTCAATTGACTGTGTCGACTAAAAAGTCTAGACAACGCTCCACTCGTTCGCTCGCTCGGTAGCTAGCTAGTGGCTGCCTTCTTCGCCGCCGTCACCGCAACGAAGACCATACTTACTTGTGTGCTTTTAATGAACCACTACAAGTATCCAGCACCTCCATCACCCATGCTCCCATTCAACCAACAGGCACTCAGCCCATCTTCTTCGAGACGTTCAAGTCGACTGTTTTGGAAGAAGGCCACTCGCTGGTTCTCTCCTGTAAGGCTAAAGGTATTCCCGCACCGACCATCGAATGGTTCGTGGATGGCGTTCGGTACTCCAACGTGCCTGACCTCACAATTCCAAGGTGAGTGTGGATCGACCCCGCTGCAAGCGTCTTAATAGGAGCAGAAGAAAACGACAACAGCTAGTGCTGAATTTCTACCGGGGCGATTGCGGGAAAACGTCAGACATATCCGTGCGGCACTGAAACCCCTACCAAGGGGAATTTCTTTCTTTGAGCTTGACGATAGCTGATCTCCCTCCACCCAACTCCGCTAGGAGTGAGATTCGCCACTTGAAGGCACCACCTCGCTGTATTGTGCGGAATCCTTCCACTTCACATGATATTGGAGCGCGTCGGAACGATCATTTTTTCGAATTTCCACCGAATTAAAAAGATCTGGGTAATCGGTCGCGTGCTCGCCCTGAGAGTGCCTGCTCGATTAGCGTGACGGTGATGAAAATGCTTTAGGCGGGAAAATAGTTTTTGAGCACGATTTCGGCACTAGAACACTCCGTGGGACCGGAGTAAGAACCCGTCGTAGTTGGATAACTTTTCAAGGTCAAATCATGAAGTTCGTTCGATCTGTCGCCGCGTCCGATTTGAAGACGTTCACAAGTCAAAATAGCAAACTTTTAGCTTGGGTCGGCCGACCCGCATCACGTCTGCGGGGAGCGTATGATGTTTATATCTATTTCGTATTTCCCTCACCCAATATTTTTTTCCGGCTCCCGACAGGGTCGACGTCTCGAACGCCGGATTTTACACCTGTGTCGCAACCAACGAACTCGGGAGCAACAGCCACACCGCCCGCGTTGATATCTACGGCAAGATCCAGAGGAAAGTTGCAGCCAAATCGCTCACCGTAACTCAAGGCAGCCGCGTCGAGGTGTTCTGCTCGTACGCCGGCTATCCGATAGACTCCGTCACCTGGATGAAAGGTACGTTTCCCACGGATTTTTCCCTTCAAAGTGTGTTTCCAAGGCTCGCGGTCGGGGGGGGGGGAAAGTTTCACACGGAGTTGGGATGGAAAATCGTCGGAACGGCGCTCCCGACAGGTGGGAAGGACTCATCACTCCCGAAGGTCGGGAAGTTTCACCGTCGCCGACGAGATCGTTGGATTCGACTACCTTGGAAATCACGGAGTTTACTCACCTGGACGAGTGGGGCTCGGTGAATGGGCGCTCGACCACGGGCAGTGTTGGGGAATTTGAGGTCGGTAATGCGGGGAAAATCCGAGTTCCCGGGGGAGACGACCAGCCCTCTGTTTTCCTCTCGGAAGCTCACGGAGGGATGTCCGTAAACGCTTCCTCTTCCCATTCATCAAAGCGAGCTTGTTGACACTGCCGCCGCAGCGTTTTCTCGTCTCGTACGGCCGCGCCGTCGTCCTTTTCCATCGCACTCTCTACACAGCGAGCGGTAGCACCGACGACCGAAGAGACGGACGGAGGCACGGAGGAGTCGTCGTCGTCGCCGCCGTCTTCTACTTTAGCGCAAATGGATCTGTGGAGAGTTCAGATGGAAACTCGTACACTCCGTGCCTCCACTCCCATCCATCCATCTATTCATCCACTCACTCACTCATTCGCATACGCACTCGCGCAGCCGCGCGCCCGTCGACGTAGCCACTCGTAAATCCACCTCGGTTTCCGAGACCATTGGAGTGGTTTATTCCATTTTCGCTTCACTCGATATCCTCTCATAAGGTTTCTTGGGGAGTTCCGCATCGAGTTCTTTCCTCTGCGACAATCTGAGACCGCCTCCGAAACCTCGAGGCCGGCAGTCAGTGTGGAGATTTGTTTCCCGTCTTTCCGTCGTTCGGGAGAACGGGGACGTGATCACGATTTAGGCAGAGGGCACGATACGGCATCGCATGCGACTGACTTGAGTTTGCCGTTATTCCAGAAAACATCAAACTGAACTCATCGGCGCGCCACATGATCCGAGAAAATGGAATTCTCGTCATCGATCAGCTCCAGGCGGGGAGCGACGCGGGTGAATACGTATGCGTCATCGAGGGACCCAGCGGGAAGATCACATCGAAGACACTTCTTGAGTTCAAAGGTGAGTTTCATTCGTTGTCCCCCAAAGCTGTCAACAGTGGCCCGCAGGAGCGAGGAATAAGGGAAGAGCCGAGCCTTCCGCGGGAAATATTTGATGAAAACTAACTCGACTCGGCCCGCCGCTTGAGACCGAGAGATCCGTGAACGAGATACCTTAGACAGGGTGTGGCGGGACGCGAGGACACTCTTTTAAGCATCCATTAGGGCGAGCTGTCGCCATCTGGCGAAAAAAAAGGCTTTCGTATCCATTCGGCGGACAACGCGGAACACAAACGCCAAGGAAGGCGATTCTCACAAGAACAAGGAACAAAATGAAAATGAGGAGAATAGCAACGAGCAAGCGAGCCGTACGTCCCTTGCGCTCCCCTTTCTCGTTCGTCTTCTTTCGAATTTCCACCGCTGCGGCCGCTCGTGAAATAATAACCAAGCAAGCAAGCAAACCACACGGTTAGATGTCCAAAGGTCAGACGTGAGAGCCGACCCGCGAGCGGGCGGGCAGGCACGCCTGCATCGCCTTTTCGTGCTCTTAAATAAACCATCCGACGAACAGTAGCGACAACTGCGAGGATCGACGAACTCATTCGAGGCGAAGATGAGTAGGGCACGAGCGAGAAATAATGATCGCACCAAACCATGACGTCACGGGAATGACCATCGCGCCAGGAATCAAATCATGAGGAATACTAATATGTACAAACAAACCACTCCGAGACGGCGCTCACGAACACGGAAGAACGGGACGCGAGTCACCGGCAGGGACATACTTCTCCCGGTTCGTTTCTGCGCTCTCATATTCCCTCTTTCCAATAAGCGCCTCTGTTCTTTTGTGAGGAGAGAGGTAGTTTCGCGTTCGATGCAATCTTTCGCTCATAAGACCCTTCTAGGAGGCGGAAGGAGGAGGGACTGAGAGAGAAAAGAAATGATTCCTGGCCCACTTGTCACAAGCAGACCTGTGAGCAAATTTCGAACGGCATTGCACACCTCGGAGCAAGACCGAGTTTCCTTCGACACACCCACCACCCACGTTCACCGGAGGGTCTCTGGCAGAGTTTACTGCGCTCGTTCCCGAGCTCCAGACGGCTCCCGTTGCAGCAGATCCGGCGAGTTTCACCATGGAAATTTATCTCGTGAGCCTCAGCGTACGGTTTCTGAGAAGTCGAGGATTCTCTCGAGTTACTCGTCGCCGGATCTGAGTGCAGGCAGCGACTTCGTGCGAGATTTTGACCTTCGGGGAACTTCGAGTCGTCAAAGATCAATTAGGATACTTTTTTTCTCTTCAAATCCTAAGCAGCCACACGCCTTCCCCGCTCGACTTCGCTCTTGTCACCCGGAATCATACTTCCGAGAAAGGAAGCTGTTGTTTGACAGTTTTTTTCCTCTCCGCCCTTCGGCGTCTCACTTTTCAGAATGACAACCAACCGAATGGCGGGTCGACGCCTAGCAGCCGTCGTCGCACTGAGAAATACAGCGAGCGAACGAGCGAGCGTGAGATTTAGAACTTTGGCGCACCCTCCGGACAGCCTGACGATTTTGTCGTCTCCGGAGCACTCACAAACAAACGAAATGCCGGGGGCGGGAGGAGAAATTGAAGAATTAGGACATTGGAATGGAATGGCGTAGGAGCCCTGCGAAGCTCTGCAGGTCGCTCCTCGGAGGGACCATATGTTTCCAGTCCGAAATTTCTCTCCCGAAAGATGTCGCCCCGATTAGTAGGCGTGTGGAGGCGACGGATCCAGTGGTCGAGATTATAGGTAATAGTACCGCCGACGCGACTGTTGAGTCGGGGTTCGTGGAGAGAGTGTCGTGGAGCTCAAGTTGCTTCCAAACAGACTCCATAGAATGTTCTTGCGTTTCCGGATCGCCAAGTTTATACCAAACGAAAGGCTTCTCGGGATGAAGGAGGATTGGGCGAAAATTCCCTCGTATCACTAGAACGGGAGAAGCGCGGCTGACCGACACCGGGGCCACGATGAGAAGTCCCGACAGAAGGAATAGAGAGGAGGAAGGAGAGGGCAAGGTAGAAAGACCATGGCATATAAATAATTCAGTCGTCATAAAATAGTTGCGACGAACGTACCGGACCATTGAGCGAAGTTTCAACCGCAGCTTTAGGCTTTCGAACGAAGGTACGAAAGGAGCATCGAAGGAAGCGATCGACCGGGGATACGTAGGCTCTTGTTTCCCCCTTCCTCTCTAAACATGTTCATACACAAAAAGGAGGAATAAGATACGCGCACAGCACGGCTGAAAACCGAGAGAAACGCTCTACGGAGGACACGAGGGAGAACGTTGGCGTACTCCTCGACGTTAAAATATTCTAGCGATATGCGTCACTTCAGGAATAAAAACCAGGCTCGAATGAACGTTTGATTATTCTCGTTCCCAGAGGCCAGAAAAAAAAACCTTCCACAGAGATCCCATCCGTCCAATCCACGGAGCACAGTGCGCGCACTATCCGGATCGTAATTTGATCTGTCAACGAGAATCCGCAGGCCTGCATTAGTTCGTTAGCGGTTGTGACTGTGGTTGTCTGTTGCCGTAGCTCGCGACTGTTAAGAAATCACTTGGGCCCACCGTTTTTAATGACACCACAGAAAAGCCTCCGGAGGAGTCTGAACCCGCGTCAGTCAGCTGTTCGAGCACCGCGCCTAGTCTGCCTGCCTTAACACAGTCACTCACTCACCCACTCAGTCCGTCCGTCTGTCTGTCCGGCCGACCGTCCGTCTAACTGTCAGCCGGTGAATACATGCTGCACTGCGACGGCAAGTGTTGGAATTGCAAGGGAAGACGTCACAGAAGCTTCTAATGAGCGCAGAGGCCCGATCAGCTCCGCGAGCCTCGGAGCTCGGCTGGCTGCAGGGAGCTCACCGACCGGGTGAGCAATTTCACTTAGTGCGGAAACGACGAGGACGAACGAAAACGAAGGAGAGGAGCAAGAAGAGAACCACGACCGGAAAGGTGGAGGAACACGCACAGATGGTGCTCGGCTGAGCTCTGGTGAACCTCGACTGGATGCCTTCGCCCTCTGTCTTCGTGACCTACTGACACGAAGACTAATCGAAGCTCTTATTTCAAAAGAGCTCTTCCAGCTCCCTCCCTCCCGACCGACGATCGAGGCTCGGGTCGCAAATGAGCTCTTCCCCCAATGACCGTGACCGTAGATATGCGAACCCACCCAGAAGCCCAGAGGACGGTTGACGAAAGTTCGCAGTGTTGCTATCGTCTGTCGCGGACGCCGCCAGGTGGTCTTCAGATATTTCTCTCTTGTTGACTGACTAGCAGTGGCTGGTTGGCTGGCTGGCTGATCGTCCGGCCGACCGGCCACCAGGCCGACCGACTCGACGTCGTTGACAAGCTGTCCGGCTATTCGAGCCAAGCAACGAGTTCTCAACGCAGTCCGACAGCAGAAGACAAACAGCCTCTATTAGGAACGAGGGGAACAGCCACCTGAAACGACCTGGAGAGACAGCTTGTGATGATATCGCGCGAGACCGCCGACGGCAGCTAGCTCGCCAAGAGATGGGGCATCGCGCTCAGGACCAGGGGGGGGGGAAGACGGCTCAAGGAGGCATTGCCGCAGCGCGACAAGCCGGACGACCCGAACACACAACGTCGATAGCCACCGTCAACAACGAGCTCTTGGTCGCCCCTACGTCCGCAGGCGGCGATACGGACGTAAATTCGAGTTAGACTTTAAACGAGAGAAACATTTGCTGTGAGGCTACGTTGGTCGCCTTTGCTCGAGCTCCTCTTTTGGCAGCCCGGATCGGTTTGCGCCTTCACCGCGACGTCGTCGACGACGACGACGACTAGGTGCCCCGTCCGCCTCAGTCCCGTTTGCTCTTCCAGCTGTGTGTATGTGTGTGGGTGTTTGTTTGTTCGTTCGTTCGGATGTCGGCCAGCGAGCGGGAGGCCGTCCTTATTCCTGTCTTGCACCGAGCGAACGAGAAGAGGGAACAAGGGCAAGATAGGAGATCTGCGCTCGCTGTTCGAGGGGTGCATTTGGCTAGAGTTACCTGTGCTCCCCGCCGCCGTTCTCCCCAAAAATGCTCTTAGAGTGAAACGAGACCTCGCGACGTTTCCGCATTTATTGGACTGGCTTCTGTTCGAGATTCGCCCGTGTTCCTCTCCGCAAATCCCCCCACCCTAAAATTTCCCCCGATGAGTCCCCTCACCGCACTCGACGCCAACGCGGAGAGTCGAACGAGCTGGTCCGCATCTCGGAGGAAGATTTCTCATTGTCCGCCTCTCTCTTTGCAGTTCCTCCACAAATCGACACTCACTTCTTCCCGCGTAAGATTGAAGTTGAAGAAGGTTCGCGAGCCCGACTACTCTGCTCCGTTTCGAAAGGGGACACGCCGATCAGGATCAGCTGGATGCGACACGGCAAGATCCTCGATACCGTTCCGGAGGGCAGCGTTCAGTATTCGGACGACGCTGCGATGATAAAGTTCAAGAAAGTTCGTTTCGACGATCGCGGAGAATACAGCTGCTTCGCCTCGAATCAAGTATCCTCCGTCAACCAAACAACCATGGTCAATGTAATGGGTGAGTCAAGATGCGTCTTCGGTAAACTTCGCGCAGCATCCCAGTTTTCCGCGTGCGTAGAAGAAAATTTCAATGCGTTCCAATGCCGTTTCCAGTGCCGCCGAGATGGGCCTTGAATTTCCCCCATACAAACTTCACATACGCGATCCAAGGCCGACCCTTCCGGATAGACTGCCCGGCGGAAGGTTACCCAACGCCGGTAGTATCGTGGAGCAAATCAGGTGAGTTCTGGATTAATGAATTTTGGAAATCGCTCGTCGGCTCGCTCGCTCGGCCGAGCCGTGTCGTCAGATAGGCTCACGTCAGGCATGTCTTCTGCGTGCCGTTAGACCGTACCGGCGACGGCAGCGGTCGTTCAGGTGAGCGCAGGATCGCGCCAGAGATACGATTCCAGCCAGCTGCTGATTGGCGGGAATTAATTTTGAAAATTTGAATTTACGCGCCACTGGCTCGGCATTGTTGCCGCCGAGGCTTCCGCCTCCTCGGATCTTTCTGGCGCGTAAGGGCGGATGCCGAGCGAGCCGGCCCGCTGGCTGATAGTTCAAACTTAGAGCCGGGGCAGACGGATGACAGGGTGACCGTGGATGACGGCGGCGGCGGCGGCGGCGGCGAGATGTGGTAGAATTGTCTGCAGCCCACCCGCTTGCTTGCCTGCCTCCTGCCTGAGGGCGACATCTAGGGAACCATCCGAGCGTGCGGACATCCCGAGGCGGCAATTACTTCATGACGAGCCGACGTCGACGCTCAGACGACGACGATGAGGAGCATGGAAGCGAACCGTCTGCTGCTCTAGTCAAGGGGAACACGACCGGCTGGGGCGGAGGGGCGCGCCGAGCGATCAAGTTCATCATTCAGTACGTGCCCTCAATCCTGTTGGATCTCGCTTCTGGCCGCCCTCCCCGCCAGGCAACAGACGCAGCAGCTCATAATATTAAATTATGTCTCTCTTCGAGCTGGCTGGCCGGGTTCAGAACGCGACAATTCGAAATCAGCGGTAGCAAGTCTGAGGGGAGAAGCAGGAAGACGGCTCACAATCGGAGCGTTCTTTCCCCCTCTCCCGATTTCCGACAAGGCCTGTTGCACGAGTGGTGTGAGCCGTTCATGGTCGTCAGACTCAATACACCGAAATATCCACTCTCAGAGGTACACGGTTCCCGAAAGCCTTTGACGAAGAATGGTGTCCATCGCGGGAGCCGCTCCCGCGTCGATCTATGTCAGTCTAGCGAGCGACTGTTTGCCCTTATCTACGTGAGCACGAAATATTAATAGGCGAGCTTTCTGCGTGGACAACTGGACAAAGTGGCGGGAAAGCCTGGATAGCCTGGTGGGATCCTTTCGGTGGACCGCTCAAGCAACTCGTATCCAGCATTCGAACTGCATTATCAGACAGTCATATGACTCGATGGCCGACGCGCACGCAGCCCTTCGCTGCTCTTGATCCCCCGATGCGCTCATATCGATATATCGAGGTTCACGGCATTGTCGAGAGGGTCGCAGATAAATTGTTCTTAGCTCTTGTCCCATCAAACACTTTCTCCGATCAATCGGAGCGTTTTCCCGGCTAACGAAAAAAGCATTCACATGAGCGTGGTCGCCGCTCGAGTTTCGGTCTCGATAAATCCAAATGGGTAAGCAGAGCTCGACATTGGAGATCTGGGGACAATTTTCGGTATCGAGGGCATTGAAAATTGTCGATACGTTTCTCGGTCTCCAGAAGTCATGAATACGTGAATGGCGGTCGGACACGTTTCGGAAGGTGATCCCGTTTATCCCTGAGACTCTCCGAATAGCTCCGTCAGATGTTCGCGAGATCGTTCGTTTCCTGCGAGAGGGAAAAAGACTGCAGGTCCCTTCTCGTCTATATCGGATGACACGAGCGAAGCAATCTCTTCACTTGCAATAGTCTCATTGAGTTTGACGTTTGGAACAATGACGCAACGCGATGTCCTTCTTCAAGGCCAATGGCCAACACCTCTTGCTCCGCACCAGGGAATGATTCGCTTCTACTCCACCTTATTCCTCTCTCTCTCACTTTCTTTCTTTCCCGCCGTCTTCTCCCTCCCCCTCCTCCTCCTCCTATTCCACGCTTCGTCACTTGCTCTTTGTCCTCCTCACTTCGAAAGAGGGAGAGAGACGCGAAGCAAGACGTTCTTTTGTAGCGGTATTCCACCGTCGACTAACGGTTCGTTCCTCCCGCGAGGTCCGTGTCTTCGTCTTTCCGAGTTCCCGCTTCTCCTGCTCCTCACACCTTAATCCTCGTAAGGCACACAGTGTCCGGTCGTTAAGAGATTGCTGATGACTTCAACAATTGTCTTCTAGCGGTTCTTCGTCGGTTCTCTTCCCGTCGAAGAACTCCCATTTTGCACGCATGCACCCGAGCTCTCTGCTGGAACGAATCTCGTCGGTGATAGTCCGGTCGAGAGAGAACGACAGGAAGGGAATTAAGCAGACGTCGCGGACGAACGAAGACGAGAAAAATATCCCGTGACCGCCTTCCCGAGCGCCCACTCCAGTCCCCGGAGCTGGCAATGGCTCATCGTAGGCATCGAGTTCCCCGCTTCCCTCGGCAATCGCCTGAAATCTTCCCTGGAGCTATGAGAAGGCAATCGTCCAATCTGAGATGGCGTCGAGCAAGCTAAGAAGTCGTGCCGGAGGCTGCAGCGACTATGAAGCAAAAAGTTGGAAATTTTAAAGAGGAAAGCGGAAAACGAGAGCTGCTGCTGCAGCAACGACTATATCGCAAGTTGGTGTACAAACATCGCGCAGGTGTACTACGAGCAAACATTATAATAGAAGCTCCTGCTTTGTTTGTTTGTACATTTTTTGTGTGTTCTCGCTCGGATTGTCTTCCTCATTCCCTCTTTATTCCTCCGTGCTTGGAGGCAAGGACAAACGGAACGGTGTGCAGCAAGCGACGAGCGTAACATGGAAGCGATTCGTCCTCGTCGGCGTCATTGTTGTCCTTTATGTCCTATACCGCTGCATTCCCCAGCGTGCCTCTGCGTCTACGTCTCCGTCGTTGTTTTCTTTAGTGACGGTAGTGTCGCCGACGACGACGGGTTTCGTCCTTTATACCTGCTCCTAAGGGTAGGTACTTGTGGTGGCCGATGACGCTGTTTTCCGGAATTCGGGGGCGGTCGAAACGGGAGGAAACCAGCTACAGTGAGATTCGGATGCTACGAGAACATGAAGCGGAGAGACTCGAGGAGGGAGGAGCCCGAAAAGAATCCTTTGCATCACGCCAATGCACTCCCGGATCGTCGATGGTGTTTTGGCGTGCGGTTTCGGTTCTTCCTGAAACGGAAGGAGCTCATGGTCTGTCGTCCTTCTCGGTCTACTCCTACTCCTCCGGCCTCAGCTGCTCGGTGCTGAGTCACACACTCCGCAACGGCACGGCGAGTCTTGTTAGAGATGCTCGAGATTTACGTTGTACGTACGTGCTTTGCCGCTATCGGCGTATGTCAGGAATTCGCTTTAGAAACGGACAAGTCCACCAGTTAGAACGAGAGACGGTTCCGCTGATTCACAAACCCTCCGTCAGCTCCGGTCGGGAGACAGATTCGAAAGCTGACCTTAAAGCATACCCCGTGGGATTCGAGCTGATTCTGCGCAAGCTCAAGGGATAGATCCGCGCTCTCGGAAACGGAGGAGATTCCGGCCCGCGAACCCCCGCGCCTGAACATGTACATACATATCAGAGCGCCTGGTCGCTTGGATGAGAACTTGTTAGAACTTGTTTCCCTTTCCAGCTGATGGCTCCCTGTTCAACGAGATCCTGCTGTCGAGGAGAGTTTCCGTCCACGCCAACGGAAGTCTGATATTCTCTTCGGTGTTCGCCGATACCGATGCCGCATTGTACCGCTGTGAGGCGCGCAATGGAGTTGGATCGCCGAAAAAGATGACTATTGAGCTCAAAGTGGAACGTGAGTCAACTCTGGAGATCTGCACTCTCGGAAGTTTGAATACATATCACAGAATGAATAAGTGCCTTTATTTTCGACGCCTCCGCCTAGTTTCGCAGAGCTGCTGGGACGGTTCGCAATTCGGAGATTCGCCTCTGATCGTAGGGGATTCTATCGGCGGTGTCCCAGCTCGGCATAATTATTGTCGGTATTATGATCCCGTTATTCCGTTCGCAGGCGGTCCCGAGTTCAGTGAAATATACCAGAGCATCAGCGTAGAGAAAGGAGCACACCTGACGGCGCTGTCTCACGTGACGGCAGCCAACAGCAAGACCAAGTTTTTCTACGAACGCAATTTCCAGACGTTCGTCTGTGAACCTCAGAGGTGAGTTGACTCAATCCACGGCAATCAGCACAGGAGTTATCCGGGATCGGGTTCGGGAAAAAAATCCGGGCGGTTTCCCCTCAGCGATCCGCAGGGAAGGGGGAACTCAATCGCGGAGATGCAAGCAATCTGCTCGCCGCGATCCAGCAGTTTGTTTCGTGGGACAAGCATCGCTCGAAGTGTTCGGGATTTGACGGCACTCGATCATCGCTTGAGCCATGATTTCCGGCGCTTTATTTGCGATGCTCCTCCCGCGGCGGGAGCGCGCCTCCGCTTACCTCCGCTCCCGTCGCAACCGCGCCGTGAGCTCAGGAACAGCTGACAGAACGACTCCGTAAGGAATCTGACGGGGATAAAATCGGAATGAATAATAAATGAATGGAAAATCGGAATTCCAGATGCAAGATCGTGACAAATGCCTCGAGTGCCGTCAACCTCACCATCAAAGAAACGAAACGGGAAGACAGTGCTCTCTATGTTTTCCGTGCGCAGAACTCCTTCGGGGAAGACTACACTTTCGTCAACGTAGTTGTGCAAGGTGAGTACATCATGTCACTTTCTGAGCGCGGCGTCTTCCTCCGAAAGGAAGTCTGTGCCAACTCGAAAGTACTGGGGAACGGAGACTCAATCATGACGCTTTGCAGAACCACCTGAAACGCCGCGAGAGTTGGCCGTCTACGAAGTTTTCGGGAGAAACACCACCCTGCGATGGAATCAGCCTCTCTTTGACGGAAATAGCCCCGTGCTCTCGTACATCATCCAATACAAGCCCCACATAGGTGAGTCTCGGTTCTATGGCCAGTCTCTGCTTCTCAAACCGCCCCATTGTGAACATTGTTCGGCAAAACGCATCGCTCTACGAAGTGCTCAAAGTTCAGCGGCGGCGACGGCGACGGCAACACGAAGCGATGCTTTATTGATCGCTGTGTCTGGACGCCTCCGGGAGAATCGGCGGGAATCTGAGGGGATTTTATCAATAAACCATTAATCTTTGGTGTCGCGGCCACGGCAGACAAATTACTCTCAAGCTCTGACGACGGCGGCGGCGGCGACGTCGACGATGATTCTGCCGGTGGTTGCTGTACGCCGTAAAGCAGAGAAGCGAGTTATGCAGCGAGAGCTCGGTGCAAAAGAAGAGGAAAAAGCTCAATTCAATCGCAGCCTTGCGCGGAGGTAGATTTCAGGAATCTGATGCGGTTGCACGCAGCCGTGAACGATCGGTGGAATAAGCGCCAACGTTCAAGATAATTTCCGATGTTATTGTGCGGAGGCTGCGTGCGATAGCGGAGAAAAAGCACGCTGACTTAGTCTTTGTGTCCCGTTCGAATCGGCTGGGAATTGGAAACTTTCTTCCGAATCCGATCTGCGTCAGATTTCTGCGGAGCGGAATTCATACTCGGCGATTCGAAATCATCATTTTGCAGCGATTCTCCCGAGGCGGTTCGCCAAGTCTCGCGATCGGAAGTTTTTTTTTCCTACGGCTTCCACGACTGGGATTCTTCCAAATCGTCAGATTGCGAGTGACAAGCGAGCAATAACTCAATCACGAATAATTCGTGATTGGCATACCGTCGGATATTCGTCGTCGTTGAAGCCGAGTCGTCGGAGTGACGCTTAATTCTATTTCGCTGAGCTCTGTTTACTCGGCACCAGGACAATACCGAGGATTAAATGCGCGCATATTCGTCCGGCCGGGCTCGAGCCTCAGGATGCCGCTGGATTTGAGCGCGGACGGATCACAAATCGGGCGATTGGGGAGCGAAATATTTGCACAACCGATGATGGTCAGCGTAAGGAGAATAATCAACCTCCGGAGCCTGTCATGTCACCGGGATGAATATTCCATGAGAAACGACCCAACACTGCGAATCCGACCGGGGAATGCAGCGGAAGGCCTTCCCGGCGGGGCTTTTTTTCCGAACCGAGTTCGCCTCCGTAGATGTCCGGCTCCCGAGCTCTGATCGGTCGATGTCGGGACAGAATCTCGGTCGTTTCGGAAACTTCCTGCAGCCACCGGAGGCGTAGCGACTGCGGAGAGGAGACTCGCTGCTCGTTCCTCCCGATGAATAGCTCTCATAGATACTTTCGAGTCTCTAGTTTCACTCCACGCGGCGTTTATTCGGTACGGCCCTCTTAATTTGCGTTGTCGTCAGCAATAGAGTTTCATTTCGTTCGGATAATTCCATTGTTGAGAAGTCCCTTTGAAGTTTTCCAGACGTTGAATGACGTTTTGGATATGGGTCCTCATTTGCCGGTCCTCAGAGAGTCTTTTCAGACTCGAATCTAATGTGGTTCGCTGAATTGAGTTGCCCCTAGAGTGCGCATATTTTCCAGCAAGTTCCCGCTGCGAGATGAGGAGATTTCGAGAATCGAAGCTTCTGTGAGTTCCGCTCCTCTCGGTGCGATTTTCCTTCGAGACTTCGGCCCGGACGGTTTTATACGTTGCGGCTTACGTATTATGGTCGCGGGATTGGTAATAAGTTTTCTCATTAGCTCTGCCGATGTCATTTGTGAGAACACGACAAGCAGCATATGATGCAACGCTGGTAATACCAGATAAGAATGGGATGGAAAAAAAATGAGGACGATGCACGATAGAAGAAGCAACGTTACCACTCCTTAGACGACGATGCTCCACGAAGGGTACGGCCGGAAATTGTGCAGAACCTCCATCCACCGGTCCGTCGGTGGGACGACGTCGTCCATGAAGCTCGTTTCCTCCGCCTTATCGTGGCGGCAGCCGTCCGTCCGTTCGCCAGCGTCGTTGAGCTTGACCATTCTATCGAACTGACCGCAGAGTCGCGGGATCTAAGCAAGCTTACGAACGCGTTCGTTCGTCCGTTCGTTAGTTCGATTGATTATTATTCGTTCACTGATTCATTAAGTTAGCCCTTGACTCACTCCTTCCCTTATCCTTCCAGAGAACATGGGCCACTCGTTCAGCTCGGTCGAAGTTAATGGAACTTCACTGCGGGCTGTGCTGAGTCCCCTGGAACCGATACAGCAGTATGAGTGCAGAATCGCGGCTCGCAACGCCCTCGGTCAGAGCAGTTTCTCGGATTCGATTATTTTCACCACGAAGGAGGAACGTAAGTGCGATTACGCCCGGGCCGTTGTTTATTCGAAGAGGGAAACCACAGGCAGGTCCAGCGGCGGCGTTATTCAGCTTCCCGGGAAATGCGCTTACCGCGTTCTGCAGCAGAGGCTCCGATGCGAAGTCGGTGCTCGATCCCCGGACTCCGTGCTCCGACGGTCACGATCACGACTCATCGCTGGTTGCCTCGATCGCGTGACCCTGCTGAAAATAAGGGCACGGTTTTCGGCTGAGGATACTGAAAAAACGATGTCGATGAGCTTTATTGACACGGTGACACGTTGCGTCACGTCATGCATTTCCATGTCATCACCCCACGCTCTCGCCGTCGGTGCGATAAGCGTCCGAAAATACACTGCGTTTCTGAACACAACAGGCCGCTCCGTGGACGACGAATTCCCTTTGTGAGCTCGAAACTGATTCTCTCTTTCGTTCCGTTCCAGCTCCGTCAGGATCTCCAACTGCTATCGCAATCCACGCGACCGGCTCTCAGTCGCTCAAAGTCACCTGGAGGGTAAGTGAACCAACAGACAACAAGGCAAAGAACGGCTTCGTCAGAAAGTGGTGTCGAGTCCACTGCGATCTGAGTGAGCGTAGAGTTCCATTGGCGGGCCACAAAGAAGTAAAAGACAACAGTCATCGAATCGTTCGACCATGCTCCCCTGAGCTTTATCACGAACGATGTTGATCGAGGAACCTTATCGATTCCACTGGTGCACGGCCCGCCAATCAGGACAGTGATTGCTGAAAAATCATTTCCGAAAACGGCTGATCATTGAAAATTGAAAATCACGGGAGAATCCCGCCAGGACGTCCCACAGGGGGGGGGTCGAGGGGGAAAAGGGTCGCGACGAAGGGGGAATTCGCAGCACCAGCGTGGATGGCAGAACTATTCTGATAGGGGCGCACTGTTGCTGGCTCGAATGTGCGTTGTCCATCTTGTGCCAGCTGGACCTTGCGTTTTTAAATTCAGCACGTTTTTTCCCGTCTCCCTCTTCCCTGGGTCTCTGCCCCTTCCCCAGTCTCCCTGTCGCAATGCCCACTCTCTGGAAGAATATCTGTCACGCCGGAGCGCGATAGGAGAGAAAGTAAATAAAACTCACTCGATGTACGTCCGTCCGCTCTGCCCCGATCCGCTATGCCGTTCATCCGCCCGTTCGTTCGTCAGTCGGTGTGTCCATCCATCCGCTCCTTCGGGTATATGTGTCTGAGTGTTCGCGTGTATGTGGAAGAGTTTGCATCGTTGCTCAGCGTAGTATAGCGTAACGTTTTGACAGAGGCCGACGTGACGCCGCCACCGCCTCTGTTGCAGTCGTAGTTGCCATCGCTGAAATCTTTTGTTGGCGTTCGTGGAGCAAGTTGGCAACGGCCGCGGCTTTCCCGAGCGGCGTGAGGAGCCCGAATCGACAGCGCCGGCTGACGGGGAAGCTGAGGGAAGAGGGCAGAAGCGGCGGAGGCGGCGGCGGCGGTACCGACAGTAACGGCATCGGCGGCAGCACATTGATCGATAGCTTCCTCGGATCTCGAGCCAGCCGCTTGAACCAGCGGCCGCCAAGGCTTTGCTTCCGGCGTGGCTGACGTCCTTCAAGCGATGGCAGCGGCGCGGCGGCAGCGCCAAGTGGTCGTAAAGAGCATTTTGTGAGCAAGTTGCCTCTTCTCCCGTTAAGTCCCCCGAATCCCCCTGTCTCTTCCCCTTCTGTTCCGCACACAGGCTGCTATTGGCTCCGTCAGTTAACACATACACTCAGTCACTTACCCACAACGGCAAGACTTCCACTGAGGCTCTCAAATGATGGTGTTCATCATGTCCCCCAACAATGTCTCGCGGTTCCACCTTCGACCCCCGTTCTTTACGTTGATCGCACGCCTGGCTCACTTATGAGCCCGTGAAACTGTATTCCGTATTCTCTGTTTCTCGGATGTCACACGGAATAAGGTGGCGGTTCTGGTTTCGGCTGACTCATTTTCCCGCTGCCTGGGGGACCCGTCAGAGAGGGCGTAGGTCGGATTTGAAGTTCGGAGTTCGAGTATCGAAATTCCGCGAGGTCGAAATCATTCTTGTCAACCGGAGACGAGAGGAACGGCGACGCGACGCAGCGGCAACGAAGTTGACAACGACCGATGACAGGACTGGAACGACCCGGCTCTGTACAAATGACGTGTGCTATCGAAGAGACGCGGGCTTCGATGCGGGGGACTCCTCCGTTCCGGCGTCCGGTCGCTCTTGCTGTTGTCGCAGTAATTTATTTCCGTTGACAGAGAATGCCAGAGTTCAAATTCTGAACAACTCTGCCCCATGAGCCGTTCCATGTTCGTGATGGAGTGACTGTGGCGGCTATCCAACCAATGTTGCAGTTTGTGGCGTTTGTTTTGCTCGAGCAAACGATACAAGATGTTCATTGCTGCTTTTGCTGCGGGGCCACTGTTTTGAATTTACATAATTTCCACGGGACAGCACTGAACCAGCGCGAGAGCCTTCGCCCGCTCAAACAACAGAATTTCCCTCTGAAGGAAAAATTGAAGAATCGCTGACGCTGAGTTTCTGCAACCTGTGAAGGGTGGGGGGGGGAAGGAATATTACCCCCGGGTCGCGAGTTCATCGAGATCAACGTCAGCATCGGAATAGCGGGTCTCCCCGATCGATTGCGAGGGTATTGATGTCATGTCTCCCGCTCATTGTTCCTCTCTCTGTTCGTCTGCGAGCGCCTGGGAGCGTTGGTCTGGGGGACGGTTTTTTCCCGGGACCACGTTACTTCTCACCGCTCCTAAACCTTGCGATCTGCTAGGTCAGTCGGCAAGTAGTAGCGAGCGCAGCGGGAGAGCGTTCGAGATAAGCCCTCAATTTGCGGCTGGCCCATCGGGAGAGTTAGGGGGGGGGGCGAAGCAAGGGGGAGAGAGAGTGTCCGAGCGCGGCGGAAAGGACAGGGAACTAAACCGAGCGACAGGCAAACAGGCACTGCCCGCACCCAAGAAGAGCCAAGGGGCTTATGGTCACGAGCGAGCGAACGAGGAGTATTGTGAGATCGGGAGAGAAGGGGGAACGACGGCGAGATCGCGCAGACAAGCAGGCGGACTCCGGGCGAAACGTCCAGAGCTTCGGAACGAAATGCAGCAGCCGTAGCGGATGGCCGTATTATAAAAATGACTATTTGCTCTTTGCACGTTATCTGAAGACCCACCGACCCGTTCCCCGCCTCGACCAGCCGGAGAGAGGAACCGACTATCCATAACATCAGCGGCAGTTGCGGGAGCCGCCGAGGACAGCGGCGGCGGCGGCACGACGACCTACGACTAGCGCCGTAATCCCTCGCTACTTGCTGTGGGCTACGGATAGCGTTTGCGCGAGACACGTTTCACATATGTATGCACGTATGATCGGATTCAACACGCAAAAACGGAACGCGTCGCAGCACGCGAAAACGTCGACCTACCGAGAATAGCACCCAAGCTTCCCGTCTGCGATGGAAGCTTTAGTGGGGGGGGGGAAAGAAGGAGAATTTGTTTCTGTTGCGATTGACTTTCTCTTCCGGACCCGAGAGCTGCACCGCCCCCGCCGGTGCGAGAAGAAAGTGCCGAGACGAGACTCGACGAAATTGACAGAGATTCAAGAAAACGAAAGTTACACAACGAAAACATAGACGACAAGCAAGCCTGTTATTTTCCGGAGAGGAACAACCAACTGACAAACCGAGAGTCGGACGAGTGACTTCAACAACTCAACAACCTAAAGGACTCGAGAGCAAGCCTGATTTTCCCTTGGTTTGCACCGCTCGCGCCGTTCCGAAAGGAGCAAAACACCCTTCCGGCAACAACAGCAGCAACACAACAAGTGTCGTTGTGTGTCGCCATATTTGGCTTCGTCTCTCGTTGCCATTCTCTCGTCAGCCGCGCTGCGTCTACGAGGGAATGAAAAAGACACGAAATACAACCGACACCGCCTTTACCCGCTTCGTTTCCTCTGACTAGCATTTTTCGCTGGTCCTATAGCCTTTCACTTGTTGGTCAGTCAGCCACTACACGTCTTCAAAGAGGTCATGCTCCGCGACGTTGTTCGATTCGGAAATCCCGGAACGCCACTACAAAACAGACTGAGGAAAGGAGGAGTTCTCTGGGTTATTTTCCCTTTCCCGGGAACGGGGTTTCCCTTCTCGGTCTCAATTTCCAATTGCGATTCCGACCCGAGTTCCCCGTACCGACGTCATCGCTCTGCGACAGCTCTCCATGAAATTCACGAAATTCTTACTACATGAGCGTGACCCCCTGCGGGCACCATCTGGGTAACTCTCTAAATTATGTGGGCACGATATCTTCTCATACTCGGCCCACACTCGGCGCAACGTTCGAGAAACCTTCTGTTTGAACCCCTCAACCACATACTGTTCACCGTCGCTCGCAATCGCTCTCCTAAGGCTCTCCGACACCTGTATTTTCACGGATATACGGTCATAATGAAACCTGCCGTGTCAGTGTGCTCTTGCTTCTTCCATCCGGATGCAAACAGAGTGGCGCCCCCCAGAGCCTGGGACGTACACGGGCAATCAACGGGTGAAATAAATAGCTGCTCTGCTCGTGAGACTGGTGGCCACCCACGCTAGGAAGCAGAGTCCGCAGGAGAACAATAGTAAGGTTTCTGAGGGCAGTTGAAGCGAAGACACGGCATCGAACGGCCGAGCGGGGTAGGGAGGGACTCCCGAGGCGGAGTCCATCTCAAACCGGTCGCGACTCATCCGAGACTTGACATCGGATTTCCATTCGCAACCATTCTCCCGTCTACAGACCTCGAGAGAAGATGCTGCTCTGGGGAGATTTGAAATAATTGAACTGATAATAAACTCGGTATTAAGGGTCTCTCTCCTCGCATCTTCGCGTGCTCTACTCGTATCGGTTATTACCCGCGAGAGAACTGACGAAGCCGACGGGGATTGAACAACGCATATGGAGCGTACAACTCACGCGAGAGTTCGACTCCAGTTTGCTTAAATGAGGCGAATATTCGATCTTCTCGGTGCAGACGCGCTTCCCGGCCCGGTGCGTTCATTCGTATGCTCGATGGATCGCTTTGTTTGTTGCCGCTTCCGAACCTATTTTCGACGCCCAAACGTCTCCTCTGGGTCATCCCCCATAGCTCAGTTTCGCTCGGCAAGCTGCGCGGAGCAGCAATGTTGGGCACCCGAATCGAGAGCCATCCCTCTCGGGATCGAGAAAATGTTCCGCCCGTTCCTTTGGAGTCAGAATTCCCCGAATTCATGGTAGAGAACAGTTCCCCATACTCAGAGTTCCGATTGCGAAATCTCGGGAATATGCATACTCGAGCTCGGAATCAATGTTATATAGTCATATGCATCCGAGAACTCATTTCGCTTATGACTTATGTGCATTAACTTCACTATTCGAATAATAACAATGTTCCGAGTAATAATACAAGGAAAGTGGTATATTGTGAAGCCCTCATCCGATAGCATGGATTCTGGATATCGCGGAGATGCACTACGAATTCATTCATCGAATCACTCTTCCCTTGCAGGCCCCACCGAGATCCGATCAGAATGGAATCATTCTGGGCTATTACATCGGCTACCGTCTGGCGGACAGCTCGGACGACACGTATCATTTCAAGACGACGCACGCTTCGCAAAACAACACGTTCGAATCGACTTACCTTACCAACCTCCGACGGCAGACTCGGTACTTGATCGTCGTCAAGGCGTTCAACCGAGCTGGAGTAGGTCCGCCGAGTGAGGATCTCATCGCCCAAACTCTTGAGACAGGTTAGCGATCCCTCGAGTACGAATTCCCTAGAACGCTTCCGAGCTGACTGGAGGAAGTCTTGTTCTTTTCCAGCTGAGTAGCAATCTTCCAGCGATCGATTCCATCAATTCACCTCTTTGCTGGCTCCTTTGCTCATTGACTCTATTTGCATATGAGGAGATGAAGTGCACCCTGGAGATGTCATGTCTCAGCGTCTTTCGACTGAGGAACTGAGTTATCTTCACGGTCCTCGAAACGCTCGTGTTTCTCCCCCACCTCGCTTCCCTCCGTTGAAGTCTGGCGATCCTCAAAGCGATACACCTGTATGCTAACACGAACTTTTCCATGGGACGCATTCGGCACACCGTTCGTGCCCCCCTGATATCGGTGTAGAAAGTCTCGAATGCTCTCTATTTCTGTATAATGTTCGATAACGAGGAGGGCGGGAAGGCTGTTTCCCGAGGAGCTCCTCCATCTCGCGGGAAGCTGACGAAATATTCGAAACAAATTTTGGGATATCTGGCTTGATAAACCTTCGGAATACAATAGGAACAGACTTGAGACGAGGGTGCTTTGCCAGGGACGCAACGATTTTGGGAACACGATTGAAAGAGAAGAACGCGGAAGGGAAAGAGAATGAGGCTCTGCGTTTTCCTGAGCACCAGAGTGGATCCTCTGCTGATGATAAAATCGATGCGACGTCGACCCGGCCTTGCCTTGCGTTGCCCAGAAAACAATTGTTTCGAAGTCTCTTACGTGCGTCTCTCCTGTGTGATACTCAGACTCCCCCGTGCGGAGATTTCTTTTGTCTTTTCTTCCTCCATTGCTCTTGTTTTTTCGCATTCTACCGGCGCGCTGATTCGTCTGCTCCTGGAAATTTTCATGGTAACGGTTCTCTAGAAAACCGTCCCTCGCAGGGAATGTCTGACCATTGTGAGGAATGTGACCGCATACCGTATCTGGTCCGGCAGACGGCCATGCTTCGAAATACAGACCCCCCACTGACGAGGAAAATAGACAGGCTTGCCGATCTCGACGGGCACCCACGGGTCATGGACAGCTCAGGATTCCTTGAGCGGGTCAACTTTCCCGAATGAGTACGGAATGAACTCGTGTGTCACTGTCCCATCGAGTGGAGGGTCTTCCTCGCTTCGAACGGGAAGACCTCTTGCCTTCGTGAGATGCCATACGGCACTCGTGGAAACTCTCCTCAAATGACCGAGGCAAAACGGACCGCTCACGGGGTCGTTTCTTGCTTAGCAGTTCCGATCCGAATCCCCCGGAAAGCGATTCCGATCATGTACGCTCGACATCGTTGGAGCAGTGCGAAGGGCTCGGAGTTATCGCGCAGTTTTCAGTGGCTGGGCTCGACCTCCGCTCGTCAGACCGCGAGACGGACAAAACGGGCGGGCTCATTCGTCCCTTGGACTTCACCGTGTAGATACACAACACTCAACAAGTTGTTATTGACTCACTAATGAGGCAACTTTTTGGCCTTCGTTGTGCGCAAGTTTGCGTCTCGTTCGCCTCTACTCCTCCTCCTCTGGCAAAGTCTCTCTCTTTTGCCTTTCCTCTCCTCCATCTCTCTGTTCCGCGCCATCAGTCCGCGGTCGAAGGCTTCGTATCGTTCATTCGTTCTCCTCGTTCGTATCTCGTCTCATCCCTCCTTAGAATGCTGTTCAGTCGCTGGCTTGCCTCGTTCAACTTTGATAATGGCTCTGCAATAACAATCAGCCACGTTGCACTCTTGCTGCATTCCCCGACGAAAAGACCGACCGACAGTTAGTTCGTCTCCATCAAAAGCTTCCTTCCTTACTCCATCGTCTGTCGAGCCGACTGCTGAGCTAGGGGAGCGAGCGTGCATCTGGTCGTTCCGTGATGATAACCCCGCCAGATAGAATATTCGTCTGAACCATAAATTTTATCAATGTTCTCGCAATTTTTCTGTTCTTTTTTTCTCTTTTTTCCCCCTATTCGCGTACATCAAAAATTCAAATTCATGAGGACATCCAGGTTCATGATCTCTTATGGATATCGAGCCGGCCGGGAACTGAGTCAGCAGAGTGAGAGACTGACTCCTATAACTCATCGGCACGAAATCAGGCTTGAAGCTCGATAAATTTTGTCGAGCCAAGAAGTTTGATGTATTTTGCTAAGGATGAATGAGCGAAGTCGGTCTACTCGCTCGCCATGCTGAGCCTTCGGAGTTGCGTAGATTAGACCGCCTCCAGAGGCACATCGTTCTCATGTCGCTCCGGTTAGCGCTCCGCTGAACCCTTGTCTCACGGTGTCAACGTGGGCTCTACTCTTCCCCGACCGATTCCTGGAGCTCTGATTCTCCGACATTCGCGACCCTTGCCTGCAACAGCATAGCCATATCAGCCCGTCCGGCGTTTCTCTTGACTGGAGTCTGAGCCGTACGCTCTTGGATTCGGCTGAACTCTTGCGGATCGATGGTCGAGATTCGAGATGTTTTGGCGGCCAAACGGCTCGTCCGTCGCGCCGTCCGGATACGGGAGCATGAGACCCCGGGTCATAGTGAGATAAAGAGGTCTCCAAAGAGGGGCATCGAGGAGCCAGGACCAGAACGCTGGTCCGGTCAAGGAAACGGGATCGAAGCTAAGAGGAAAGCTACAACTAGCAGGAGCTGATGGGGGAAAATACCGCCAGCAGCGGAGGAACAGAAAGCCGAAGCGGGTGGGCGTTTAGCAAAAATGTCGCCTGGAGCCACTCTCTAAAAAGGACAACACCCTCTCTTGCGTCGTCTTCCACCTTCTTTACCACCTAGCGATGTGCGATTTTGCGCCACCAGCTAGCTGTTGCCATCGTCCTAATTGCGGACCAACCACAAGCGTCGGATCCAGGAGGAGCACCGCGGGCAAATAAAAAATCCTCCTCAGTCGGTCGGTTCCTCGGGCTTCTGCCGTTCGGCCAGCCGACTTAACCAGTGGGTCTCTGGCCGAAATCCTCTCACTCTCTCTCCCCGATTTTCTCTCGGTGACCCTCCTTCGCTCCCCATCGCCGCTCTCCTCGCACTCGCTATCTGACGAACAGCGGGTCGGGGAGCCGGGCTTCTGAGCAATCGGCCTATCGGAGAGCTCTTCGTCGAATTATCGCTCTGGTGATTGGCGCCGTTTTTAGTCGTGCGGGACTGTTGGTTCGCTTCGGTTGGGCCGTTCACCCTCGATTGGATACTTTACCATTGCGGTGCCTCGAGGGAACAAGTGGATCGTGGACGGATTGATTGAGACATCATATAATTCCTCCGGTTAGATTGTGAATATTCCTTTCCGCTCAACCCTTATACAGCTTCCAGACGTTGATATCATGCACTTGCAACCGCAAGTGCATGACCTCACATATCCACATCCGAAGAGGGATTTCTAGTTTGCGGAACGAAACGAGCAGAGTCTGTCGATCTTGAGAATTTTGACCATTGCTTGATTTTTTCCCTTTCGGCAATTCCAGCACCACCCACGTCGCCTTCAATCGAAGTCGAGAGCGGCAGTGCCACGAGCGTAATCGTCCGCTGGAACACGAATCAACTGGCTCCGAATACCGACTACACATTGAATTACGCCTCGGACAAGAACGACTGGCGAAAAGTGAAGTTGTCGGTCGACCAGTCGACCCACGTCGTTTCCGGGCTTGCCTGCGGTACGTCATACCGATTCTACGTGATCGCCTCGAACAGCCTCGGCATGGGAGAACCAGGAGCCGAGGTTCAGGTTCGCACGAGCGGAGGACGTAAGTACCCCTGACCTTCGGATGATCATTCCCGCTTCTCGTTCCCATCGCATCCCTGCGTGCCCTCACGCAGCGCTTGATGACTGACTCTCGTTCGTCTCTTAGTCGACGAGGACGTCGACGTTCTCTTTTCCTCCTCCTCCTTCTTTTTCTCCAGCCCCTCCGATCTGAACGGAACATGTCCGCTCATTCAGCGAGCGTCTAACGAGAGAGCTCCGCACAATCTGGTTCAACGGCCGCACTCCGCTAGATATTGCTCGTTAAACTTTCGATGATCGGGAGCTTCCGAACTAATATCGTTACTTTTCTTTTCTTTCCCTCGTCGGTTCCTCCGTCGTGCTGGACGCTCGCTCGCTGGGTCGTTCCATCTCCAGCGCCGGTTTCGCCCCACAAGCAGTTTATCGTGGCCAATAGCTCGAGTGCCACTCTACTGCTGGACACTTGGCGTTCGACGGGATGTTCCATAAACACGTTCAGCATTCAGTACCGGAAGAGAGGGACTCGCAATTGGTACATTCCGGGAGATACAATTTCGGGCAGTAATGAACGCTACACGATTACCCAGCTGAGTCCTGGAGTGAGTTACGAGGTCAAGGTTGTGGCCACGAGCGACGCAGGAGCAACCAGCCAGGACTATCAGTTCACCACCCTTCACTCAGGAAGTAAGCCTCTCCCGACATAACAGCCCATCTCCAGCCCCGTCCGACCAGTAGCGGCTCCTCATCGAATTGGTTTATTTGGGGAATCGCTTCCGAATCCTCCCCACTTTACGGTTTAAAACAGTGTCCCCCCCCGCCGCCCCCGACGGAACCAGGAAACATTCCCGCCCCCCATGCGGTTTGCATCCCGGTTCCGCGGATGTGTCGACTCCATGAGCCGACGTCTGTGTTTTCAATTATCTTTTCCCATCATCTAGTGAACGTTAGCACTAGGAGGCCGAGCAAAGCGATCGTACGGCTAATGATTGCTCCGGCAAATAATTCCTCGGACGCTAACAACAAACATTCCATCCGCAGTGACCTCGTTGGAGTCTTCGCTGCAGGACTACGCGGCGTCATCGTCGATGATGCACAATCGCTACACGACCCTAATCGTACAGGTCTCGCTGACTATCGCCATCACAGGCGGCATCTTCCTTTTGTGTGCCCTTGTATTGTTCTGGTATAAAAAGAAGAGCCAAACCACAAACATGGCGTCCACCCCTCAGATGACTCGTAAGTACACAACTCTCTCCCCCTGTTTGTTCCCGACCCGCTCCCGCTCGTCGTCGTCGTCGTCCTTGCCTCGACCGACCGTCCGTCCGAAATCCTTTCGCGAGGCCAATCGAGCGATCTACGGTCGTAGTCACAGCAGCGGTCGTCGAGATGTACGACGAAGACGACAATCGCATGCCCACTCCGCTCGGAAATTCAAGATGAACGAGATCGCTGAATATACTTCTTCCTTGTGCTCATCTTTCAGACAACAAACGGAAGCCAGATTTCGCCGAGGATTTATACTTATTCCAAGAGATACCGCATTTATCATCGAGTAAGAGATGCACACTGCCTTACCAAGACACCGAGTCGCCCATCATGCAATGCGTGCACGAACAAGGTACGTTACGTCTGTTTCCAACTCCATCCGCTCGGTGGCTCGCTCCGGTGCCGAACCCCAACGGTTATCAAACATTTGGGTGGATACGCCATGGTCTGATGCGATTTTGCAAATTAGATTTCTTTCGTTTTCTGTCCCGTGTTTTCTTTGTCATGCCATGCCGGTTGGTCGACTGGTTGGTTGGTCGGTCGGTCGGTATTTCGGCGGCTTTGTGGAACGGTTCCTCGGCTCGTCTCGCTCGTCTGCTCGCTCGCTCGCTCGTTCGTTCTTTGAATGACTGGTTGTTCTTGGTCACCGCAGATGATCCAAAACTTTCATCGATGGGAGTGATGAGTCAATGCGGGACTCTCCACAACGAAGAACACATTTACGCTACGGCAACGATGCCAGGTAAAATATTTGTGTTTTTCATTTATTTTTCATTCACTCATTCATCCCAGTCATCTCAGATCTCGTGCGACCTCTAGACCATTGACGACATTCCGTCGTACAAGATCCCCGAACGATATAAGATCGCAATCTTATCGATAGGCACGAGCTGAGGAGTCAAAGTACGCCTACGGGCCCAGGAGTCAGCCGAGCATGCGATTGGTGTACTTTCCAAATTGACTTGCAATCCGACTGTGAATCACGGCTGCACGTTCGTCCGGGCACGTCGCCTCGCGTGCTATCGCTCCTTCATGAAGAAGTTTGCATATGTTCCTAACAGCACGATAATAATTCAACTAAAGACGCACGAAAAAATACAACCTCCCATCGAAGGGGAGCTGGCGGGCGGGACGACTGCCAAGCTGAACGCCCGCCGCCGACTTGCCCCCCCTTCCCTCCTCGCTCTTGTCGGAGGACCGGGAGTACGGACAGACGGACAACGCTCGTATCCGAGAACGGAGTTCGGCACGTAATCGCACGATGTGGCGGCTGCACGTTGTTTATTAGATTTGTGCGAATGTTGCCTGTCTGCCCCTTGATGCTCGCGCCAATGCACGCACTACCGAACGCGCGCAGGCATTCAGCCGGCTATCAATGGCGAGATGCACGGACAGATTGGTGCATCGGGCACACGGGCTCCTCGAATCAAAAGACGAGATTTCAGAAGTCAGTAACGAATCCCGTTCATTCATCTCCGTCTTCTGCTCCACAGGTTTCCACGGTCTCTCACAAAAGCTGACTTGCTCCACTCGCTGCTAGCAGACGCTCAGGCGACCGACAATGGACTCGATTCTGTCGGCCAGCCATCATGCAGCTCAATATTCCGAGTCGGTTCACGAGACAGAATTCAATGATTGTGAATCAGGACAAGTCAACCTCTAGCGATCCAGCCGCTAGATCGCCTGCGTCAGTTCCACCGGAACATACCCGAAGAGACATTTGCACCGCGAAGTACGGAATCGGAACCCAAGGAGCGTCCAATACTCTTCTTCCATTCCTGACGGAAAAAAAGGGATTCCTCTCGACGTGGAGGTCGACCGACTCCTAGTGACCTGACCGAATTCACAAACGCCGGGGCCGAGGGAAATCTCCAGTCACGAGGAATGAGACCTCCTTTATGGGGGTTCGATTCGTTGAGAAGGAAAGGTGGAATAAGTTCTCATTAGTTTTGCGTGGGAACTTTGGCGGCGCGCTCTCGAGATTTGACTCGAGACTCTGTCGCGGTGAATGTATGTGTTACAGCCGTTACTGTTGATCAGTGGATCCGTCTGGAAGCAGCGGAAGGAATCAATAACTAAGAGCCTCGTTTTGCTCTGGGGCTCTGAACGGAAACTCCACTGAGTTTGTGTGTGTGACTGTAAATAAAGTCGAATTGTATAAAGCATAAGGAGCGATAATCTCAAAGAGAAGACACATGATGTTCGGGCTCGTCTATGTCGATTACAAGAGAAGCAGCAATGACGATCTGGCTCATGACGATTCCATGAAGCACTCGGTGAAGAATGTCGCCTTGGATAGATTCTCAGAGACCGATATGGAACGGATTGAAGATAATAAAGAAATGTTTATAAAAATGTTTTCAAGGATTTCGCTCGTGCTCATTGCATTTCGGATCTGAGATTGATAGGAGGTATTTCGAATAAAAATACCCTCCGTCTAGTCACAGCGGCGTTGTCCAGCGGAAGGGGGAAGGGAGGCGGACGATTTCCGGGAATTTCATCCCCGTTGAGAAAGATTGTTACAGAAGGCAACTCCGTAGACTCTATGCTGTGTTTTTCCGCTGGATGTCCATCAAATCCAGCCCGCAGTCAGTCCGGAAGATCACTGGGTTCCTCCAGCGACTCCGGATCGAGAGATACGGGAACGCCCGAACTCGTGCCGATACATTCTGACTCAGCCCAATCTGCTATCGGATCCGGGACTCCATCCTCAAACAGAAAACGGAATGGTAACGAAAAAGAAGCGTTTTTTAATAATGCCGCCGTCAGACTTCAATACAGACGGAGATATACTTCGCTTGTCGGCTCGAGACGGAAGAAAAAACTCTCCAAGGATCCCCCGAAGAAATCCAAAAGGAAAACGAGGGGAAATAATACTGAGCAGTCGGGGAAGACGCTCGAGAGAGACCGTGAGCTGTTGACAGCCCATGGCGTCCTCGCAGTCAAGCTTACTTTGGTTTTGCCATGACGGCTCCCCGGACCGGGCTCGTCACCCGACTCGGGGACCGCGGTCCGAGTAACCCACCCACCCATCGACCGTCTATGTCTGCATTGGTTCTGAGAACTTCATTGACAGTTTATGACGCAACAGTCGCCTAAGAATACGTCGGGTCATTCCCCGGGCTCGAAAACTCGGCGAGCACAAGCTTCCAACAATTTCGCCTGAGCACTTAATTGTCACGCAGTGTCGGCGACAGCGACTTGAGACAGCCGTGAGAATTTAGGAGATAGTCAACATGGGAACACTTTAAGGTAGAATGGCTCTGACTTTATTACTTCCTTTTTCTTGCCTGTTCCCCCTGCGCGAGCTTTTTACCGATGACGTCAGATGTTTTGTCGCTGCTCACCAGTGTCTTGGGTGCCATTGAAGAAGACCTAAGTGACACTAGACCGATTCGCTGGAAGAAACATAGCACACCGCTCGAGGGGTGATAATAAAAGTACCCATTCAAACCCATTCCATCGAGACGGAATAAGAAATCCGGATGGGTCCGGAAATCTTTGCTTGAAAGAAAATATATACCTACAAGTGAAATTGAGGGAAAAAAGCCTTCGATCCGCATCTATCGGGGAGTTCTGGAGGTCAACGGGGAACGTCGACGGGCAATGGTCTCGATGGGCTGGGGAGAGTAAGTGCAAGAATAGAAGTCATCGTCGAGCGCAGCTCGGTGGGAGGCATCGAGGACGTTCAAATATTGGTTCGGTGGCTCGTCAAAGCGAGATGATGAGACCATACCTTTCAGGAAACCACTTTGCTTTCAGTGAACTCTCGTTGAAATGGCTTCCGAGCGCACGATTTCAGTTCCGAGTCTAGAAGCGAAGCTGAGAGCAGCAGCAGCAGGAGCGAACCCCAAACCATGAACTTGTGCTGTCATACACAGAACGACGTAGACCGCCACCGTTACTGCAGCCAGGACGGGAAAAAGACTCCCTCATTAAAGTTTCGGCTCCCTTTGACTCTTTTGGAGGCGGAGCGCTCTCAGTCAGGCAGAAGGAGTCAGTGTATAAGCAAGGATTCCGACAAGAAGAAGGAGATGGAGAAAAGTGGCGGGGAAGGAAAAGGAAAGAAACTCGAAGGGTCTATTCATTTTGAAGGTTCCCGTCATTTTGTAGTTGCGACTGTCGTTTTCAGCTGTCGCGAGCGTTCTCTCGTTTAGATTGTGCTTTCAGCCCACGTTTTCCCCGTCCGGATGCCTCGCCTCAATAAGGTTTCGATTCGGGTGAAGAAAAAGATTCCGAAAAGTCGACAGCAGTTGTCAACAATGTACTCCTGGTATCATTCCTTCTCGCAGCACTCGGTAGGCTTTCGCAGGAAATCGAGATAGCTATCAGCGACATTCCATAACTAGAGAAGCTTGTCTGGAACGGCCTCCAAACTGGATGCCGCGCTGTCATCCTCTGGAGCTCGAGCTCCGGACGCGCTTTCCGCGCGAGATGGAAAATTGCGTCCTTCTCCGCGCGGAACTCGCTCCCGAAATTATTTTTGGTATTCGCCATCCTCGATTATTCGGGCTCGGGCCAAATCAAGAGCGCCGGGCTCCATGTTCCGCGAGAAGCTTGGGGGTCCTTGAACCGGAGCCCCGGTGAGCGCCAGTGTCCGCGAAAGAGAACATTGCTCATTTATGGCAGGAAGTCATTAGGTTACCGGTGCGCCAAGCGACCACAACTTCTTAACAAAGCTAACTATCTGGCCGAGGCGTCCTGTCTGACAAAGCTCAGATGCGGCATCCGAGTTAGAGCCCCAGCCAACGACGGCAACTTGCATCGACGCCAACAACTAGCAACCGCAACACAAGCTAACCTAAACGAGGTCATCAATCCGCTATCTAGCCGCGGCGAGCTAGCGAGCGAGCGAGCGGTAAGACGGTCAGTCAGTCAGCCAGCTGGCGGAATCGCCCATTCGCCTGTCAGTTCACGGACCCACGGAGAAAGCCCACCGAGTGAAGCACTTGCCGGCGGCTTTCGCACAACAGAGCAATCTAATTATGTTCACAATTATAGCTTCAACAAACGTTCGCGGAGGGAGAGAAAAAACCGGGGAGCCTAGACTTCTGGACACGAGCCCCGACTTTATGTGCATACGTACTTACGAATCTTAGTGCGTGCTCGCAGCCCGTCTGTGAGCTTACATTCGAACGTTCTTATGCGCAGAAGTATGTACTTTACTGAGGTGTTAAATCGACCGTTCGGGACTCTGGCTTGTGTTTATACGCCTAAGAATGTTAATTTTTTATGTGGAACTCCCGACACCACCTTTGCCGGTGTGCTTCCATTCACTCTGTCGCACCGTATTTTGACGTAACGCCACAATCCTGGGGCCTGAGGTCAGGCCCGAGGCAGCTGCAGGCATTCTCGTCCAGGAATAGTTCAACTTGAATTAAAGTTCTCCCCGTGTCTAACTTCGAGGCAGCGTCGGAAAAATCGAAAGCTCATCGTGACCAGCGGCACGGAAAAACAGCGAAACGAACTCGATCGTTGATCATAGATGCAAAGACTTACTTCCTCATTCTTATTGCGTGTCTCTGGTCGTGCGTGACCGAAAACGGATACACGCCCCTTAAGTATGTCCTTGCTCGGGATCAGCAGACGATGACGCACGCTCTGTAGCTCGAGTGGCTTTCATTGAGCGAGCCTCTGCTGCGTTCAAATTTGGGTCTCCGAAGACGGCCATCCCGCTTCCCCTGAATTTCGCTCTACAGCCCACTAGCACGGCAACTCCCCGAATTCCGTTAGTCGGTCCGAATCCTTTTTCTCCTCCCAGAGCTCTGACTGAGACTTCGCTCTGGATCGCATCTGCTGCACACTTCGAGGAACAGATCGATTCGAATGCTGTTGCCGCCTGCATGTGGCGAGGCTCATTGTTGGTCGCGACTCGGGTCGCCAGTCACCTGGACCGGAAGCCAGCGATCAAATCAGCGGAACCCGAGGGCAAGAAGCAACAACGTGAACGAGTCTGCAACCGAACTCGATTCTCGCCTGACTCGATTTCTACTCACCGTTCTCCTCGCTGTCACCAGCCTATGTAGGAGTTCCTGTGCATGAGGACAATGTTCCATTTGCCCTTCTTCGGTCGTTGACAAGGTTCTCGGATCGAATTTCATGATGCGCTCGTCTTCCAAGATCGTGACGAGAAGCGGGGCGACCTTCGAAGTTGATCCGACATAACATCAAACGGATTTGTCCGAGTTCGAGACGATGTGGCTTTTCGACCTGACGTCTGATCCTTCCGAGTCACACAAACGTCGACAGTATGAAAAGTTATCGACGCGGGAAATACGCGAGTTAAACAAGAAACGAATTCTCGTCACCGACTGGGACCGAACTTCGTGAAGGGAAAAATGGTCACAGGAGTCCCCGACACCAGAGCTGATAGACGGAGCTTCTTCAGTGCCGACGAGGGTCGAGAACTCAGAGAGCGATAATCTGAACGATTCAGCATTTGTCCAATTCTTCGCGAGCTGGGGACGGTCCACTTCATGGTTCCGCTTCTCCTCTCAGCTTCTTCCGTCGTCGCCCTCCCTTCCCGCAGAAATGATCGATTGCTCGACCCGGGACAGACAGC